TCCCCTCCCCATGGGACATATTTTGGTGTTTTGTCGAAGATCAATTGGCTGTACGTAGATGCTTTAATTTCTGGATTCTCGATTCTGTTCCATTGATCTATGTGCCTTTCGTTGTACCAGTACCAAGCTGTTTTGACCACTGTCACCATGTAGTATATTTTAAAGTCGGGGAGTGACAGTAATAGCCATAATTTTTTGAACTAAAGAACTGATCAGTTCATAAAAGTTTCTTTAATATATTTGTTTTCTCTTTAATTACCTTAAATGATAGAGTTGAAAAGATGACAGTCTATTGTTTATGTATTGCAACCTGGTCTATATTGTAAGATTTAAAAAGATGATTAATGTATTTAGTTAGTTTGAAGAGATAATAATAGTATTTATCTCCTCAAGCTGTAAATAAGATTGCGTGAGATAACAAATTCAAAGCACTTAGAATGGTGCCTGGTACAAAGTCAATGTGATATAAATACTTAACATTTAACCTAAATAGTATTTCCTATGGTTAAACAATACTTACTGTGGATCCAAACCATGTTAGTTTCTCCTCTTTTTCTCAGAAATTCTTAACAAATATCCTAGCATGGTCTTCACAATATATTGCCTCTTTCAAAACAATTTTTTATTGAGAGATTGTGCTTGGCTTCTGGTCTACTTTTGAAGTGACTTAAATCTGTTTGCTATGCTCTCTCTCTTTAGTTATAACTACATTTCTAAAAACAAACAAACAAACAAACAAACAAAAACAGACAATTAAAATAAAAGGATATGACATAAGTGCATGAAAAGAGAAATTTATTTACCTTGACTTTGCAAATAACCTTTTATGTAGTGGCAAATGCTGCCATATGCCAGGCAAACTGTAGAGAAGAATGGGAATTTTCTGTATTTTATTACTTAGTACTTCCTTATCTGAAAAAAGTAATGGCATACACTTTGGCACTTCCAGGCATCAAAGATGTATTTATTTTACAATGGAAATTTACACGGAAATAAAGTATAAATAGCCTGGTGTTTGATAACAAATACAGTATGTATGTGGGGTTAGTCAATTTCCCTATTAAATAATTAAATATACAGCTATAGCAAAACAATTAATAATAATTCCATCTTACAAATACAGAAAGTCTAATTTTAAAACCTAATTAAATATGTTGTTGTTGTTAAGAGCTGTAGAAGTCAGTTCTGACTTATAGCGACCCTGTATAGGATTTCCAAGGAGCAGCTGATGGGTTTGAACTGCCCACTTTGTGGTTTGCAGTCCATTACTGATTCTACCATACCACACCAGAAGCCCTAATTAAGTATATTTTCTATTTATTTATATCTTTTTTTCCATTTATATATACAGTTGACCCTTGAACAACATGAAGGCAGGGGCCATTGACACCCTCCCCATGTTGTTGAAAATCCATACAAAGCTTTTGACTCCCCCAAAACTTAACTACTAATACACTACTGTTGAATTGAAGCTTTACCAATAACATAAAGTTGATTAATATGTTTTATATATGTATTATATGTTGCACCCACATAAAAGCTACCTATTCAATAAAAGATAAAAAGGTATTTTGCAAAAAGTGCAAGGTTTTTCTACCTGATGACATAGCTGCAACAAAGGCTTAATACATTTCCTTCTCTTTTTACAAAGATCCCTATGATTGATTAATTTTTCTTGAAATGGCAGCAATCACAAAATTGCAGACACATTTAGCAAATAAACTTTTTCATGTAATGTTATGTTTTCTCTCTACTTTTTGGGGAGCACTCCCAGCATCACTAGTGGCACTTCATATGGGTTCCATGGGATTATTCAAGGTTTATTGTATTGCAGTAAACATGATGAAAAATACTCAAGAACTGCAAGAGATCACTTTTTACAGTAACACACAATTTACTACCGAGAAACTGCTCAGAGGAGATGATTAGTGTCGCGTGGAGTTTTAAAAAAAATCCACATACAAGTGGACCCATGAAATTTAAACCTATGTTGTTCAAGGCTCCACTGTAATGTAATTTAGTATATCTGAATATAAGAAGTAAAGTGTGGCATAGATCACCCAGTAGGGTCTTAAAGTGATCTCCAAAATAATTATAAGTTCTGAGATTCTAGAATCTTAAAACTAATTAAAAGTGGGTATAGTTCATTATACTAGATGTTTGAATCAAAGACCAAAAATAATGTGGAGCAGAATCTTGATTTAGTATTATTTGGCTATCTTTGAGGATACCCTGATGGATAAGATTAAAGTCTATCAAGTTAGAATCAGAGGAGTTATTGATAGGTGAGGGAGATGTTGAAAAGAAAAGGAAGAAAAGAATTTGATTTAGAAAGAGTGAATGATGTATTCCATAAAACCAAAGAAATAGTTGGGAAGCAGCTTTTCAATGGTTTTTTTCAAAAGTTAACTCACTACTTGAACTTCTGAGTATCTGTGAATATACTGTGAACTCTTAACCTCTTTGACAAATAATTATTTTCCCTTGAAGATATTATTTATTAAAAATTTACTGAAATAGAAAAAAAAATTCTTGTATCTTTTGTTGTTTTGGCACTTGCTTAAAATGAGCAAAGAAAGCAAAACAAACAAAAACTCCATTAACTCCAAGTACAGTTTATTATCTTAACGTACAGGTAATAAAGACTTAGGAAGGTTGTAGCAGTAAGAAAAAATAATTTGGTGTGAAAAAATTTAGAAATTCTCTTCTCTATACTTTCACTATCTGCCTTCAGAATAATTTATTTTTTAAGAAAAGTATGTATTATAATATGTATATGATTTCTTCCTTGAGAAAAACATAGAAAAGTAGAATGACAAGAGAACAGGGATTTAGCCAGACAACTCTTAGTATGAACCAGGGTAAAACAAAATTCCCTTGGACCACTGAGAAACTATCTACTTTTCCATTGACTTAAAAAAAAAAAAAGATCAATTTTAAACAATAAACAATCTGAATTTTAATTTTATTACTTAACCATCCCATTGCTGTGTTTCCTTTCCCTGAGATCTCAAAACAGCTCTGCCTTATTTAAATCACTTATTTTCTCTCATTTTTCAGTTTAAGTACCTCTATTTCATCTAAGTGACATTTCTTATGAGTAATGGCCAAATTGACCTCTCTCCTTTGAATGAGGATCTTTCCATTTATATAGTGGCAAATGATGGCATATGCCAGGTGAACTGTATAGAAGAATGGGAATTTACATATGGATGAAGTATATAACAAACATTATGACTACCAGAATTGTTTTTTTCTAAACTTGCCATGTGAAAGCCTACACCTTTAAGTCCATTTTGTTATTGTACCAGTTATATTTTTGCCATCTACTATTATATTGTAAAATATAATCATGACAATTATTTTTTGATTCCTAATGATAGATTTTCCTTTACTGGAGCAGAGGCAGAAAATGGGAAAATGTTTTGGTATATCTCAATTGAAATTGCTAATTAAGTTAATAATTATCTCTTGTAAGCTCATAGTCAGGTCATAAGAGTTTGCTCCATTATTCAATTTCCACAGTTACAAAAATATTTTTTAAATTATGAACTTGAAAAATTATCATGTCACAACTAAATTACTTTCAATTATATGTTTAAAAGCAAAAACCCAATGTAATGTAATGTTATGAAATTCTCATTCAATAGATTGAGGACATAAACAATACGGGAACTGAATCAGCATCGGAGGTAAACAGACATTTCCTTTAATGAATCATTCACCTAAAATTACCTGATTCACAAATACTTTTAATATAAAAAATATTGACAGATTTTACTCTTTTTATTATTAATATAGCAATAATAGCAAAAAAACCCTCAAACCCAGAAGTGATTTTCAAAGCAAGATCATATTTTTTACACTTTAAAACACTATAGCTTACGTGTTTTACAAGTAAGTATGCTTTTGCTTTCATGATTAGATTAGAAAGACAGGTCTCATTAGTCTCAGTTTGAAATACTCTGGCAAAACTATATATTTCTTGAGCTGTTACTAACAATTGAGATTATTGAAAACTAACATTTTACAAATTCAGTTTTCTTTTCATCACTTGTCTTCTTTCCTCAGAGTTCCTGACAATCTGTGTTTTGATTCTCACATACTAGTATCTGTGAGCAGAATCTACTACCATGAAAGATTGTTCAACAATCTTTCAACAACACAAGCATTTTAATCATCCCTTTTAGCTAACAGAGACAATTAAAAATCAATCAAACAACTTGATGGTGCACCTAAAATTATAGCTACATAAATTGGAAGCAGTTTTATTTTATGGGCATTAGTACTTTACTTTATATTTGAAAAAAATGGTGCTGTGGGGTAAAAAATGGAGCTGTGGACCGAAAATTCGGTTTGTACCACAAGGTCAGTGGTTCAAACTCACCAGCTGCTCCTTGGAAACCTATGTAGGGTCACTATGAGTTGGAACTGATTCAGTGGCACTTAACATCAACAACAACAACAATAGGTTATTTAATAGAACCAATGAAAACTAATTTTAAAAGATAACAAATGTTTTAAATTTTTAATAGGATCAACCACCAGGGATTTTCACCTATAGTATAAATGTTTACTAAATCATTCAAAAGTACTGTATTATTTCTCAGTAAATATTAATGATACTAAGTATTTAACAAACATACCTACTGACACTGAGTTGATTGTGACTCATAATAACCCTATTCAGGGTTTCTGTAAATCTTCACAGTAGCAAACAGCCTCATCTTTCTCCTTCAGAATGGCTGGTAGGTTTGAACTACCGACTTTGGGCTTAGAAGTCCAGTTTTTATCGTACAGTATCACCAAGGAAAATCATACAGAGAAGCTTTTTTTTGTTGTCATTTAAATTGAATACGTACACCATCAAATTGATTTAGAACACTCTCAGGTGCACAATTCCTTTTGTAGGATTGATTTGCGCACAGATAACTAAATTCCGGCAAGGACACTGCAGTCTTGGTATCGCAACAGTTGTATCAACACCATCTTCTAGGAAATAGGATGTCTAATGAAGCAATAGATTTCAGCAAGATTTATGAATTTAGAGAAAAGAATATTTAACAATAATCTGTGAAAAAAACACGTTTTGTTCTTAATAATAAGTGATAGTAAAATAATGAAATTCACCAACGTTGGCGGTAAAGTCCTGTGAAACCTAAATATTGGTCAGGAAGAAGTATACTAATTATCTGTTTTATGAACTAGGAAGGAGATGATTCACTACTTGTGACAGTGGTCCCTGTCAAATCGCACAAAATATCTGGAAAAATGAAAAAGAATTTTGAAGATCTAGAAAAAGAACGAGAAGAAAACGAAAGGAATAAATATGAAGAAGATAAAAGAATAAGATATGAAGAACAGCGACAATCTTTGAAGGAAGCAAAGTGTCTTTCATTAGTCATGGTAAATTAAAAAAAAAAAACAGTTAACAAATTTTCATTAACAACTAATTGTTAAGCTAGTTAGCAGTGTTTCCCCTTATGATTAACAGATGGGCTTTTATAATGTTTTCTAAGGACGATGAGATGGAAAGTGAGGCAAAAAGGGATTCATTTTCTCCTGGGAAATTGAAATTAACTTTTGAAGAATTGGAACGACAAAGACAAGAAAACCGAAAGAGGCAAACTGAAGAAGAAGCAAGACAGCGTTTAGAAGAAGAGAAGCGGGCTTTTGAAGAAGCAAGGCGGCAAATGGTAAAAACTATTTTTTTTAAACTTACATTTATTTTTACGGTGGGTAGCTAGTTTATCTAAATGAATTTATATTTATTCTGGGAGAGTTAATATTTAAGAGAACCCTTAAATACTGTTTTTAATATTTTTTTAATACTCCATCTTCTCTATTTAAAATTTGGGGCGTACTTGAGAAGCGTTACTAATTTCAATACATCTTTATTTGGGATTTCTTTACCACACAAGACTTTATCGTATAACCACTGGTACTGAGTGGATTCTGAATCCTAGTAACCCTACAGGGTAGAGTAGGCTTGTTCCGTGAGTGTCTGACGCTGTAATCTTTAGAGGCACACTGCTTCTCTTTTTCCTTTGGAACGGCTGGTGAGTTCAAAGTGTTCACTTTTCAATTAGCAGCCCAATGCTTAACCCAAAATGCCACAAGGTCTTCTGACTTTATAAGACCTCGAAAAAAAAAAAAAAAAAAAAAAGAGGACTTTGATCAAGCATATTGTAGTTGTTGTTGTTGTTGAGTGCCGTCGAGTTGATTCCAACCCATAGCTACCCTGTATAGGGTTTCCAAGGAGCAGCTGTCGAGTTTGAACCACCAACCTTGCAGTTTAAACGGCTTTTGCAGTCTGGTGCATTAACCCACAGCGCCACTATCAAATCGGTTCTGACTCATAGCGACCCTATATAGGGTTTCCAAGAAGCAGCTTGTGGATTTAAACTGCTGACCTTGTGGTTAGCAGTCCAGTGCTTATCTTTCAGTGTCACTCCAGGATATTAAGGGTATAAAAATACTCCTGTATGAGGCCGAAAAAGTCTGTGCCTTTGATTTATAATTCATCTCTGACTTTGATGATTCTCAGTTTTTAGTAATTAATAGTTTCTTTGTTTAGGTAAATGAAGATGGGGAAAACCAAGACAATGAAAACTTTTTAAAAGATTGCCGTCCTGGTAAACTCAAACTCAGTTTTGAAGAAATGGAAAGGCAGAGGAGAGAAGATGAAAAAAGGAAAGCAGAAGAAGAAGCCAGAAGAAGAATTGAGGAAGAAAAGAAGGCATTTGCTGAAGCAAGGAGGAGCATGGTAAAATGGAACCTAACTGGAGAATGCCCTGTTAGGAGTCAGCTTTTTAGACTGTTAGTAGAAATCATTAGACTTCGAGGAGTATCTTGTTATTCTGGTATTTTGCCAATAGTAGCAATAGCAATTAAGTTTTAAGTTCTTCTAATTGTGTGTGGCACTGTGGGTTAACGCGTCAGACTGCAAAGTCGTTTGAACTGTAAGGTCAGTGGTTCAAGCTCACCAGCTGCTCCTTGGAAACCCTATACAGGGTTGCTATGGGTCGAAATCGACTCAATGGCACTTAACAACAACAACAGTGGCATAACACCAGTTAGATGAAGGTGTTTGCTTCAATGCAGTGCTGAGAAGATTCTGATTAAATTGCCATCATTGGTACTGAATACGAGGGTAGGTCAAAGGTATAGCTACAAAATCACAGGAATATTTTAAAACAAAAATATCACAATGTGAAGCCATTGCTTTTCGGCATATCCTTCATCTAGATCTATACACTTCTGTAGGTGGTGCTTACATCTTGCTAACCTTTCCCCAAAGAATTCTGCACTCTTCAATTTAAACTACATCAAAAGGGCAGTTTTGACATTCTTGAGGGACTTGAATCATTCCTTTTAAATGTTATTTTAGTTTTAGGATCGAAAAGAAGTCTGAGGTGGAAAGAGCAGGGCTACAGAATGAATGGGGTAAGGTATCCTTGAACAATGAGCACTTGTACTGTCATGATGGAAAACATTTCTCAGTGCAACTTTTCCTGGCCTTTCCTCACCAATATAGTTTTCAATTTTCTGACCATCTCTGCATAAGTTCCTATGATTGTTGTGTCCTTGGAGAAAATCTATCAAGATTGTTATTGTTGTTGTTAAGTGCTGTCAAGTCAGTTCTGACTCGGAGCGACCCTGTATAGGGTTTCCAAGGGGCGGCAGGTGGGTTTGAACAACTGACCTATCAGTTAGCAGTCCAGTGCTTTTTCTACAGCACCACACCAGGACTTCCTGTCAAGATTACCCCCTTGCGATTCCAAAAAATAGTCACATTAACCTTCTGAACTGACTTCTCTGTCTTTAGTTTAATTGGCCCAGCACATCTCAGAATGCACTGTTTGATTGAATCTTTTTTTCAGAAGGTACCCTAGCAAAACTAAGACAAGTGCACTTGCCTTCAGCCATCCACTGATTACAGAGACGTGTTTAAATACATTTTCATAGAATGAACCCTTGCATGCATGAATTGGACCCCAGTAGCAATACTTTTTTTGACTTACCATCGTAGACCTAGATGGAGGATATGTTGAGAAACAGTAGCTTCACATTTTGATATTTTTAATAAAGGTTTCTATGACTTAGTAGTAATACTTTGAGACTTGCCCTTAGCACAAGTGGTTGTAGTAGTTATGTGCCGTGGAGTCAGTTCCAACTCATAGGACCCTGTAAATCTTTACGTGAGCAGAAAGCCTTATCTTTCTCTTGTGGAACAGCTGGTAGTTTCGAACTGCTGACCTTGCATTTCGTAGCCCGATTCATAACCACTACGCTACCAGAGCTCTGCCTAATAAGATTCCCAATGTTGTAATTATTACAGGAGCAGATGGTCACATATTTTCATTTAGGAGCCAAACACTTAACCATTGTGTCAGCAGGAGTCCTCATTGTTTATATTTAAAATGTTTTTAAACAATCCATGAATTGTAAAACCATTCAAACATTGTTTCTGAATTAAGCTGATTCTGTAGTAAAGCTTGTCAGATAAGATCTTGACCAAATAGGGAATTACTCCTTTCCTCTCTCATTCCCCTCTGTCATAATTCACACCAGAGAAATATGTATACTATGACCTCAGAGGATCAAAAATTGGATTATATCATTGTATCCCATGGTAAAATGTATTCCAAGTCATAACTTAAAAGCAATGTTTCTATTTGAAATTTAGGAATTGCCTAGATGCAGCTGTTAATGTAATAATAAAACCACCACTTGAGAGCTGACCATGATGTTAGGCACTCTTAGCTCTGGTAGCGTAGTGGTTACGGTTCGGGCTGCGAACCTTAAGGTTAGCGGTTCGAAACTACCAGCTGCTCCGCGGGAGAAAGATGAGGCTTTCTACTCCCGTAAAGATTTACACCCTCGGAAACCTGTACAGGGTCGCTATGGGTCAGAACTGACTCGACGGCACTTAACAACAACAACAACAACATGTGTTTCCAAAGTTTACTTAATCCTCATGACAGCTTTATAAAAGTTGTTCATAGATAAGGAAACTCAGATTTAAGAAAGGTGAAGTAACTTTCCCAAAGTCAGAGCTAGATGGCAGAGTAAAACAGTTCTCATGAAATTACAAAAAGACTATACAAATTATATAAGATTATATAACTCTTATTGGAAAAATTGCTGAAGTTTTGATGTCCAGCTTTAGTAAGAGATATTTATGTTGACTTCGGATAAGTTACATTTCAGTTCCTCTATTTCTTTTTCTGTAAAATGGGGATGTTAATATACCTTCTTTATTAAATAATTAGTACAGTGCTTATAACTGTACCTGGCACAAAGTAAGCTCTCAGTAAGTATTAACTATCATTATTTCTTTAAAATTAGCCTGACAGAAAATAAGTCAGTATAATAAAACATAGCATTATCGTTTTGCTTAATTGTGAAGAAATCATGATCATACTGATAAGACTAGGATTTAACTGAAATGATCTATTTTGATTACTAACGTGAAGATTTATTTTAATTCAATAAAAGTGTTGTCAATATTAGAAAACATTAATGTCTAGTTACAGTATATATGATAAGTGCTTTTTATGTTCAATGGACTAGAGAATACATGGTCACATTTCCTCTATACACACAAATTTCACATTTTCTAGTAATTCCTTCCTTGTTTATTGTTTTATAATTTTTAGGAGCATTTAGGTTTCCTGATTTCTAGCTCAGTGTGAAACCTTTCTACTACAAATAATCCTATTTTCTACATGAAATATCTTTTTTAGCATGCATACTTTGGGCAGGAGTGATTAAAGATTTATTTTACATAGGTAGTAGATGATGACTCCCCAGAAATGTATAAAACAATCTCTCAAGAATCTCTTACACCGGGAAAACTGGAAATTAATTTTGAAGAATTACTAAAACAAAAAATGGAAGATGAAAAACGACGAACAGAGGAGGAACGGAAGCATAAGCTAGAAATGGAGAAACAGGAATTTGAACAACTGAGACAAGAAATGGGTGAGGTAAGAATTTTAAGAAACATTCATTTATATTCCATAAATATTAAGCTTAATATTTTACTTATACTGCTTTACAGTAACTTTATAATTACTGTCATTCACATAAAGCACATGCAACACAGTCCTAGAGGCATTTCCTTGGGACAGGTGACAGCATAGTTATATGTGCTTTCTAGCCTATTATCATTCTCCTTCCTTGCTAGTTTTTTTTAAAAAAATCCTACAGGATTGAAAGTGACTGAGTTCTTACTCAGTCTTAAGCAAGTATTCTTACATATATCTCGCAGATATATTTAAGACTGAGAACTGCTGTTCTAGAGTATATGATGTACCCATTTCTACTTGTTGTTTTCTTTGATAACAGATAAATTTAATAAAAAGAAAACTACAGGAGTACCATGGATGCTAATACAAACATAAGAGTTTGGCAAATCTTTGAATAATGTTATTTTACTAAATTAGAAGATGCAACTTTGATACTGTTGAATTAAATATCTTTATGATATTTATGATTTCTCTAGTATTGAAATGAAATACAGTTACACATACAAATAGAACATATAGGGTCAGCTACTTGGAAATGCAACCTGTGCAGCCATGCAGGACCCCACACTCAGAAGGATACTACATTTGTGTTGTGCCTCCTTTTGCTTCTCTAACTCCTCAGTACGGATTCTCAGTATCTCATTTCTCACCTACTGATGCCCCACTGGGTTTCTTAAGTGGAGTATGGAGAATTGGGTGAGGCCCAGGGGCCTGAGGACAAGTGTAGTGAGGGTGGGACAAGGCAGGGCAGTACCTCTGGCTGGTAGTGCCACAACATATTTGGCAGGCAACTTGGTGAGGCCTCTTACAAACTCCTCATGTAGGAACTGAGTGCATTCCTACTCATAAGTTGCAATCCCTTAAAAGTTGTCTGTTTGTCATAGGTTGGGGTAGCAGACCTATGAGAAGGGGACAGTTACTTCCCTGTTCTGGTGGGGATCCTGTAAATTCTGAAGCTAGCCTTGAGAATAAAAATGCTGTGTAAATAAAAATAAATAAATATAGGTACACTGTAAGTGCCGTGGAGTCTACTCCGATTCATAGTGGCCCTGTATAGGATTTCTGAGGAGCAGCTGGTGGATTTGAACCATCAACCTTGCAGTTAGTCATCAAGTGCTTATCCTGCAGTATCATACCAGGACTCAATGTATGTATATATGTATACTGTGCAAGACATTTAATGGCCTCAGAATTTCTTACTGACAACTGTACACTTGTTGTTGCTCTTGTTAAATGCCATCGAGTCGGTTCTGACTCTTAGCAACCCTGTATAGGATTTTCAAGGAGCAGCTGGTGAGCTTGAACTGCTGACCTTGTAGTTCAAATGGCTTTGCAGTCTGGAGCATTAACTCACAGCGCCACACCAGGACTCCACTGTCACATATTGATTGGACTTCTAGTGTGGCACTGTAAGATAAGCCCAGGACTGCAAGGTCAGTTTGAACTACAAGGTCAGCAGTTCAAATTCACCAGTCACTCCTCAGAAATACTATACTGGGTCACTATGAGTAGGAACCTACTAGACAGCACTTAACAACAGCAATATATTAATTGGAATCCTGGTGCGGTGCTATAGGATCAGCACTAGACTGCAAACCTCAAGGCCAGCAGTTCAAACCTCAGAAATCCTATACACAAGGTCACCAGCTGCTCTTCAGAAATCCTATACAGGGTCGCTATGAATTGGAACAGACTTGACAGCACTTAACAACATATATTAATTAGATTATATCTCTATAATTATACTAAATTGTATTCTACTATAAATGTTAGTTTTCTTAGAAAATTTCTTGATAATTAAATTTCAGTTTTCTTTATAAAATAAATACTATTAAATTTTCTTTATTGTTTACTTTTTTTGAGGCTAGATCTTCAAGTATTTTTTTTCAGTATATCAAAGGAATCCTATACATAAAAAATGTATCTCATACATATATATTTTATATAATGTACATAAAAGATTCCATTATATCACAATGTCAGTGGATATTATATATATCTTATACAAATGTATTTTATATAATATATTACAAAGTTCCACTACTATATTGTAGAAAAATATATGGAGATCTAGTCTCAAAAAAAAAGGTTAGATTATTTTATTTTATTTTATAAAGAAAACTGAAATCAAATTCTTGAGGAATTGTCTAGGAAAACAAACATTTATAGTAGAATACAATTTAATATTATTAGAGAGATGTAATCTAGCTAATATATGGCAGTGCATAATTGTCAGTCAGACATTCTGTGCCATTGAGTGTCTTGCCCCAGTATGTCTCAGCATTTTAAAGCAAAGTTATATGACAATTCCAATATTACCTGGACTGTAGATAATTAGTTCAATCATTCAATTTGATCAGTATAATTAAGAAAATACTATGATATGTTTATATCTACCATAAATTTCCCCACATGCCTATCAATTTTTCATACTATAGTGACTTGCCTGTTGCTGGGATGCTGGAAGCTGTACCACTGGTGATTCAAATGCCAGCAGGGTCACCTTTGGTGAATAAGCTTCAGCAGAGCCTCTAGACTAAGGACAGACTAGGAAGGAGGAATCGAAGGCCCATTGCTGAGGGATTAGCCCTTGGAAACTTTACAAATAGCAGCAGAACATTGTGTGATATAGTACTGGAAGATAAGACCCTCAGGTTGGAAGGCACTCAAAATACAACTATACAACTGGGCAAGAGCTGCTTCCTTAAACTAGTTGATCTTAATAACATGAATAGAGCAAAGCTTTCAGAATTTGCTGATGTGGCGCAACTCAAAATTAGAAAAAAGAAAAGCTGCAAACATCCACAAATAATTGGAACATAAAATGTACAAAATATGAATCTAGGAAAATTGGAAATCATCAAAATAATAATAATAAAAAAGAAATGGAATGTATAAAAATCAATATCCTAGGCATTATTTTTGTTGTTAAGTGCCTTTGAATCAGTTCTGATTCATACATAGCAAACCCTGAATCAGGTTTCCAAAGAGTGGCTGGTGGGTTTGAACCGCTGACCTTGCTTATCCTATAGCACCACACCAGGACTTCATCCTAGGCATTTGTGAGCTGATATGGACTGGTATTGGCCATTATGAATCAGACAATCATATGATTTACTATGCCCAAAAGACAAATTAAAGAGGAATTGCATCATAATCATAGTCAAAAACATTTCAAGATCTGTCTTGAAATACAATGTAATCTTTGATAGGATAATGTCTATATGCCTACAAGGATGACCAGTTAATACAATCATTATTCAAATTTAGGCACCAAATACCAAAGCCAATGATGAAGAAACCAGTTTCTTCAGTTTGAAATGAATCAAACATGCAATTAAGATACACTGATAACTACTGGTAATTGGAATGTGAAAGTTGGAAACAAAGAGATAGTTGGAAAATATGGTATTGGTGACAGACATTACACTGGAGAATGCACAATAAAAGTTTGTCAGACCAATGATTTGTTCACTGCAAATACCTTTTTTCAAAAACATAAATGGCAATTGTACACATGGACCATGCCAGATGGAATACACAGGAATCAAATTGACCGTTATGAGTTGGTACTGACTTGATGGCCCTTAACAACAACAGTAGCAATTCTTGCTTGACTGAAAATTGAGTCAGGGGGGTAAGTTCAGTTCCAACCTGAAGAGGGATCAAGTGCCATCAGGGTTTCTGATCTGTTTCTGACCAGTAAACCTGGTCTTTTTTTTTTTTTTTTTTAATGATCTGAGTTTTGTTCCACCTTTTCTTTCACTCTATTCAGGACTGTCTAATATGATCCATTTCAGAGCAGTTAGGAATCCTAGTGTGGCACTGTAGGATAAAGCACTGGACCGCAAGGACGGTTTGAACCTCAAGGTTTGGCAGTTCAAACTCACCAGCTGCTTCTCAGAAACCCTAAACAGGGTTGCTATAAGTCAGAACTGACTCGACAGCACGTAACAATAACAACAACAGAGCAGTTGGTAGAGGGTAGAGGCAGCTAGACACCAGCTATTTCTTCTGGTCACAGAGTCATCGAGACTGATGTTCACGTGTTCCATTAATCCATTGGACTAGTTACTTACAAGATATTGACAACATTAGAGAGAATGAGTATTTACAAGCATCTTCAGTTTTCATCACTCTTCTTTTCTCCACACAGGGAGAGCCCAGTAGTTGCACCTTAGATGGCTGCTCAAAAGCTTTTAAAATCTCAGTTGCTATTCACAAAACTAGGGTACAGAACATTGGGTTTTGGACGATGCTATGTCAATGGAAATAGCGGGAATTTTAAGGGCACTCTGGAACTATTTAAAGATGAAGAAAACCATGGTCAATGGAGCCAAAACTAGAATTCCTATCAGATATTTAGTCCAGTGTTTTATCAATTATATGAGTATTTCTTTGTCCTCTAAACATAGATCCCACAATTCTTAATAAATAATCTTGCTATACGTATTTTCATTTTAGCAGTTTATCATAGAAGTTTAACAGCATTTTAAGCCATTTTCCTTAACAAAACAGAATTTTAAATGTAATAAGATATTATATAAACTTCTAAATTTGTAGCACCAATTTAAAAACAAAACAAAACAACTTTTTTTAGGTGAAAGTGTATGGAGCAAATTGGTTTTCCATTCAACATTTCATAGACATATTGTTTTGTGACATTGATTGCAATCCCCACAATATAATAGCACTCTTCCGACAACCTTTGTTTTCCATTTACATTAATCTTCTTTCCTATTCCTTCCGGTCTTCTGAGCTTTATCCCTGGACAACATGCTGCCCCTTTGATCTTATATGGTAGATTGTTCTAAGGAGTGTTTATCCCCCTGGTTTTATTTTTCACCTTAGAGGATTGTCTGTTGTTTGTCTTAGTGTTGAGCCACAAGAGTGTGTTTAGCTCTAGATTGAAGGCTGTAGTGTCAGGGGCTCCACCAGTCTCTATCAGAAAAATGTTTGGCCTTTTCTTGTAATTTTGTGTTTTGTTCCACATTTTTTTCTCAATCTATCTAGAACCTTCTATTATCATCCCTTTTAGAGCAGCACCATTTACTTCTTGACTAAGGGATGTGGAGGCTATGGTTTGAGTGGCCCTTTAATCCTTTGAACTGTTTCTATGCATCTTTTTTTTTTTTTTTTTTAATGTTTTACTGTGAATTATGTGATAGTTTACATGGGAGAACATTAGCTTCGCATTGATCCCATCGTATATCGTTTCCTTGCCACGGTTACAATCCCCTCCATGCGTCATCAACCAACCAAAGGGTATACCCCGCAAACCTGCCCCCCTCTCCCTTTCCAGGTCCAAAGTCTCCAGCCGCTCCATCTCTCCATGTCATCGTCTCTGCCTCCATCTCAGGCATCACTGTTTCTCTAGGTAGGGCTCCGTTCTCTGCTCTTGTCCCTTGATGGTCCCAGGGACCTCTGCTCCCAGACTGAAAAGTTAATCACTCCCCTCCTTTTGCCACAAAACGTCTACCTTTACATTTCCAGCCCTTACAATCAGTCCTGATCACAATTAGTCACTATTGTATTGCAAGAGACTTATCCGCATTTCCTTTCATCAACCCTGCCTAGATAGGTTGGATACTACTCAGCGGAGATTCTACCTTGCTCCACGCCCTCTGGATCTAGGTTCCGTCTTGAAAGCTTGTAAGCCAGTCACTTCTTGCCTCTGTAGCCCCTCCCCACCTCCCCACCCCCATTCTGGGTAGCCAATATCCAAGTTGCCCATCCCTGTCCTCTCCATGTATGGAGGGGGTGGGAATGATCCTTGCTGTAAAGATTTGTTCCCTCTTTTGAGCTACTGCATCCATAGGTATAGGTCAGGTTCATCAAATTGTATCAGAGTATTCTTTTATTCCTCTTCTTTCTTTCTTCTAGTTGAGCTCTGATCATCCAGTCATTGAAGCTAGGTCAAGTGGGTATTATCTGCAAGTGTGGGTGTACATATTCTACGCATCTTTGATTTTCTTCACTCTTATTTGCTCCAGAAGGGGAGCGACCAGTAGTTGTGCTTTAGATGGCCACTCACAAACTTTTAAGACCCAAGTCTACTTACCAAAGTTGTTACTGTTAAGTGCCACTGCATACATTCCAACTCATGGCATCCCGGTATAGGTTTCCAAAGAGCAACTGGTGGGTTTGAATCACCAATTTTGTGGTTAGCAGTCCAGTGATTATCCTACAGTACCACACCAGGACTGTTGTTGTTAAGTGCTGTCAAGCAGGTTCTGACTCACAGCGACCCTGTGTAGGTTTTCCAAGGAGTGGCTTGTAGGCTTGAACCACTGACTTTGCAGTTAGTGCTCCAGTGCTTATCCTACAGCATCACATCAGAACTCACCAGGACTCAGATGTAGAATATTGTCTTTGGTGGGCTGATAGCCAGTTGCCCTTGTTTGCTGAGACTATGATCCTGAGCACACAGGTTTAGAAACTCATTTCCTCTAGGTGTTTGGTTATGTTTAAAAATCTTTCATAATTTTGCCTCCTGCATGTTCTACTATATTGTTGCTAGAGGATCCTATGCACAATAGAATAAAACACTGTTTGGTCTTGTACCATCCTCACAATTCTTATATTTGAGCCAACTGTTCCTGCTAACTTCAATCCATTGTATTGGGGGGTCTTCCTCTTTTTCACTGAGACTTCACTTTACCAAGCATGATGTCCTTCTCCAGGAACTAGTCCCTCCTGACAACATGTCCAAAGTACAAGAGACAAAGTCACTCCATTCTTGCTTCTAAGGAGTATTCTGGCTGTAATTCTTCCAAGACAAATTTGTTTGTTCTTCTGGCAGTCCACAGTACTTTCAATTTTCTTTGCCAACACCATAATTAATTGCATCAACTTTTCCCGGTCTCCCTTGTCCATGCTTTGGGACAGATGCATCATTGTCCTCAAACTGACATCTTTGCTATTTAACACTTTAAAGAGGTCTTTTGTAGTAGATTTGCCTAATGCAATACATTATTTGATTTCTTCACTGATGCTTACATGAGCATTGATTGTGGATCCCAGCAGAATGAAGTCTTTGACAACTTTAATCTTTTGTCTCTTTATCATATTACTTAATAGTCCAGTTGTGAGGACTTTTGTTTTCTTTACACTGAGGTACAATCCATGCTTAACGCAGTAGTCTTGATCTTCATCACTAAGTATTTTAAGTCCTCTTAACTTCCCACAAGCAAAGTTGTGTCATTTGCATATCACAGCTTGTTAATGAGTCTTCCTCAAAGTGTCATAATCCACACAATTCAAATGGTTTTGCATAGTCAGTAAAACGTAAAAACGATCCATTAGATGCCAGCAATGTTATCCCTTCTTCCACATTCTCTTCTGAATCTGGCTTGAATTTCTGACAGTTCCCTGACAATGTACTACTGCAACTTTAAAAAAATATCTTCAGCAATATTTTACTTGCATGTAAAATAAATGATATTGTTAGATTATTTCCACATCCCATTGGGTCACCTTTCTTTGGATAGGCATGAATATGGATCTTTTCCAATCTGTTGGCATAGAAGAGTGAGTCCCTCAAGCACTGCATCAATTGGTTGAAACATTTCAAGTTATATTCTGTCAGTTCCTTGAATCGTGTTTTTCACCCATGCCTTCAGTGCACTTGCACTTCTTCCTTCAATATCCTTGGTTTTTTATCATGTGCTACCTCCTGAAATAGCTAAATCACGATCAATTATTTTTGGTAGAGTGATTCTATATATTCCTTTCATCTTATTTTACATTTCCTGCATTATTTAATATTTTGCTCATAGAATCTTTCAGTATTGCAAGTTGAGGCTTGAATTTTTTCTTCCATTCTTTCAGCTTGAGAAATGCTGCGAGTGTTCTTCCCTTTGGGCCTTCTAACTTCAGGACTTTGCACATTTAATTATAATACGTTGTCATCTTGAGCTTCCCTTTGAAGCTTTCTGTTCATCTCTTTTACTTCAACATTTCTTCACGTTGCTTTAGCTTTTTGATGTTCAAGAACAAGTTTCAGAGTCTCTTCTGACATCCATTTTGGTATTTTCTTTCTTTTTAATGATCTTTTTCTTTCTTTATGTTTGATGTTCTTGATATCATCCCACAGCTCTTCTGGTTTTTAGTCATTGGTGTTCGATGCATCAAATCTTTTCTTGTCCATGGTCTTTTCCCACAAATGTAATCAATTTGATTCCTGTGTATTCCACTTAGTAAGGTCCACATTGTATATTCACTATTTATATTTTTGAAAAAAGATATTTGCAATTTTTTTGGTCTTGCAAAAAAGTCTATCATGTGATCTCTAGCACCATTTCTATCACCAAGGCCTTATTTTTCAATTACTGTTTCCAATTTCTCCAGTAATTATCAATGCATCTTGATTGCATTCTTGATCAATTTCAGACTGAAGAAGTTAGTAGAATTGTTTAATTTCTTCATCATTGGCTTTAGTGGTTGGTATGCAAATTTGAATAAGAGTGGTATTAACTGGTCTTCCTTGTAGACATGTGGATATTATCCTATCACAGACAGCTCTGTACTTCACGACAGTACTTGAAATGTTCTTTTTGACAATTAATGAGACACCATTTCTCTTCAATTTGTCATCCTAGCCAGAGTAAACTATAGGATTGTTGAATTAAAAATGGCCAATAATGATCTATTTCATCTGTCTAATGCCTAGGGTATCAAACTTTATTTTAGTTTTGACTGCTTCGTTTTTCTACATTCATTCTTTGTACATTCCACGTTCTGATTACCAATGAATGTTTGCAGCTGCTGCTTCTCATACAGATGTGTTCCGTCAGCAAATGAAGCTCCTAAAAGCTTTACTTTGTCCATGTCAGTTAAGGTCAATTCTGAGGCGGAAGTTCTTCTCCAGTCATATTTTGAGTGCTTCTAACCTGAGGGGCTGATCTTCTGGCACTATACCACATAATATTTTGCTGCTATTCATGACATTTTCAGTAACTAAGTTTTTCAGAAGGGATCTGATTTTCCTTTTTTCTAGTCTGTTCTTAGTTCTGCTGAAACCTGTTCACCATGGATGACCCTGATGGCATTTAAAATACTGGTGGCATAGTTTCCTGTTTCACAGAAACACACAAGCCACCACAGTCCGATAATCTGACAGATGAGTTATGGATGCTCCACTATATACTTGGATATGTTTGCATCCCATATAATACAAATATAAGTACATGTGTAGTAGAAGTATCCTTTGTCAAATCTCTTTGTAGATATATATATAGGCATAGTCCCATTCTCCTTCCTACACCTGTTCAGCACTCATGTCTTTGTAGATGCTAACTCATAGATTACTGTTATTATTAATCCTGATGTTACAGGATTATATATGTAATAGTATTTATCCTTAACTCTTGAGCTCTTTTATCTGTTGTCTTCCTTTGCCTTGATCATTTTGTGCTGACCTCTCCTGTAGCACCAATATTACCTAATGAATTTGGCCGTTGTTTTCAGAGAGGTTATTAGGCTGTATTTTTTGCTTTAAATAAGAAATGGTGAATATTTTTTGCATAGTTTATTTTAAGAACTGTTATTTAATATATATAAATCTTATTTTTTGAAGGAAGAGGAAGAAAATGAAACTTTTGAACTTAGCAGGGAATATGAAGAATTAATAAAATTAAAAAGGAGTGGCTCTATTCAAGCAAAAAATCTAAAAAGCAAGTTTGAAAAAATTGGACAGTTATCTGAGAAAGAAATACAGAAAAAGATAGAAGAAGAACGAGCAAGAAGAAGAGCAATTGATCTTGAAATTAAAGAACGAGAAGCAGAAAACTTTCATGAGGTACATTACTTTGTATTTAACACAATTATGGTACAGTAATGATAGTGTGTAACATTGTCTTTGAAGAAGGTTTTATATTTATACTTAATCATGAGTGTAAATAATAATCTAGGAACTAAATAGCAATAGAATATTATAATCTAAAGGAACTTTGAAATACTTGCCCACTTTAGCATGTTTCCAAATGCCTATATTCATGTCAAAACCTATAATGAACATCAAATGTTTCACTTTAACAAAAGTAGTTTAACTTATTATATGTTTTTTAAATCATTATAACCAAAGTATGCTAATATTAAACTCCAGAGTGTTCCTAAGCCCCATAAAGCCTATGTGATCTGCTCAAAATCACATGATTCAGTGGCAGAGCCAAAAACAGGATAGAGGTGACAAGAATTTGAAGTACTTCCATATATACAATGTGGAGGGTAGGTAATCATTAGATGATTTGGAAGTTCCCTTTTAACTTAAGGACTATTTCCATGTTATGAATATAGACTTAAATGTGATCTGAATTTTTTTTCTGGCAGAAATTGCCATTCTGTAGTATTTAATAGTATTTATTCTAATATTCTTCTAAAATTTCATTTAAATTAAATATCCAACTACAAAACCTGACCTGAGAAGATGGGAGGGCCTTCAGAAGAGACTACAAATAAAAGGATAGAATGAAATACACTGAAGGAACTCAGAAAATTATTGGAATTGCTAATAATTGCAAGTCAGGATTGAGGTAACCATCTGAGAGGACTTCGAAAAGTTCTTGAAAAAGTTTAATTATCTTTTAATTCAATTTATCTGTGAACTTTTTGAAGTCCCGTTGTACAGTAGAAGGCCTACAACAGCAAAAGATAACTATGGAAGGTCTTAGATGCCATGTTAATTAACTTGTTTTTTTAGGTTTGCATTGAGGGGATTCTTTTTTTTTTTAATGGAGTAATGTTGTCAAATAGGCACTTTTATAACTAGAACATGCATTATTTGAATGCCTGCTTTGTTCTAGGGATTGTTCTGGACACTGGGACTACATCGATGACTAAACCTGCAATCCCTGCTCGTGTAGCACTTACAATCTAATGAGTGGGATGGGAGTTGGGTAATGGAAAGCAGTTATTGGGTGGTGTGGCACTGTGGGTTAATGCGCTGGACTGCAAAGTCCTTTGAACCACAATGGTTCAAATTTACTAGCTGCTTCTTTGAAGCCCTATACAGGGTCACTATGGGTTGGAATCGACTTGATGGCACTCAACAACAGCAACATAAATAAAAGCTACAAATTTTAGTAAATCACGGAAAGTAGAATTGGTAATGCTATGTTTACTTGTGCTTTATTGACTATATAAAGGCATTTACTGTGTGTATAATAAAAAAAAAATTGCAAAGAATGGGTATTACAGAACACTTAATTGTGCTCATGAGGAACCTGTGCATAGACCAAGAAGCAATTGTTAGAAGGGATACTAAATGGTTGAAAATCAGGAAAATCAGGAAAGTGTGTGTCAGGGTTATATCCTTTCACCGTATTTATTCACTCTGTATGCTGAGCAAATAATTTGAGAAACTGGATTATATGAAGAAGAACAATTGGAGAAAGATTCATCAACAATCTTTAATACACAGATGACACAACCTTGTTTGCTGGAAGCAAAGAGGACTTCACATACTGATGAGCAAAGACTACAGCCTTCAGTATGGATTGTACCTTAATGTAAAAGAGAACAAAAATCTTCACAACGGGACCAATGACCTTAGATGTATGTGAAAGCTGGACAATGAATAAGGAAGGACATATAAGAATCAATGCATTTGAATTATGGTGTTGGCAAAGAAAATTTAAAGTATCTGGACTGCCAGAAGAACAAAAACATCTGTCTTGGAAGAACAGCCAGAATGCTCCTTAGAAGCAAGGCTAGCAAGACTTCATCTCTTACTTTGGACATGTTATCAGGAGGGACTAGTCCTTGAAGAACATTATACTTGGTAAAGTGGAGTGTCAATGACAAAGAGGAATATCCCCAACAAGATAGAATGATAGATACGGTGGCAGCAACAGTGGACTCAAACATAACAATTTTAAGGATGTGTTTTATTCTGTTGTGCATAGGGCTGCTATAAACCGGAACCAACTCGATGGCACCTAAAAGCAACATGGAATGACCTGTACTTCCCCACCCCAGTATGTCACATTAAGCAATGAATCCCAGTATTTTGTAGCTGTTTCCCATTTTGTGATCTGATGTGATTATTCTTCAACTAGGGCCGTAGATGGTTTCATAGAACTGGTAATTATTGTTCTGCTGGGGTTTTGAAGTTGCTTGGTACCCATTCCCACTTGTAATGGAAAAGCCTACTTTGTGCCTATTCTATCATTGTACTTTGGAAGCAGGTAACTTGTAGTCTAGATTTCACAGGTACACAAATGAAAAGGAATTTTGCCCCATGATGGAGTGTGCCTAAAGTCATCATCCATATTTGATTTAGAAGATTCAAAAGGTGAAATTTTGGATTTTGAGTCAATTTAAGGCTTTTCAGATGACATGATGGGGCATATGTGTTTTATAAGTGGCAAGAACATAATATTTTGGTGCCGAGTGCAATGTCTTGGATTGAAATGTGTCCCTCCAAAAATGTCAATTTGATAAATCCATAATTCCCAGTATTGTGTAGTTACTCTCCATTTTGTGATATTCCATTTATAAATTATAAATCCTAACCTCTATATGTTAATGTTGGAGTCCTGGTGTGGCACTGTGGGTTAATGCGTTGGACTGCAAAGTTGGTTTGAACCACAAGGTTGGCGGTTCAAGCTCACCAGTCGCTCCTCGGAAACCCTATACAGGGACGCTATGGGTTGGAACCAACATGATGGCACTTAACATATGTCAACAAGTATCAGTGTGGGGTGTACCTTAGAGCTTCACAAGAGGGTGTTACTCAAGCCGTAAACTTTTTATCTTATGCCTTAGTGGGGCTATAACAGAAATATCACAGCCTTAGCAAACACAAATTTATTCTTTTATGGTTTAGGAGACTACAAGTATGGATTCAGAGTTCTGGCTTGAGAAACCTTTCTCTGGGTCTGGTTCTAGGTTCCCAGCGCAAGAAGTTTGAGTCCAGTGGATATGTTCCACTCTCAGTGCGTCTTTCTGGTCCCTCTTCCATCTCTTATAAGACAGAAGGTGATGCAGGACACACTCCAGGGAAACTCCCTTTTTATCAATTCAGGACTAGTCATGAGATCACAGCATGATAATTATATCATTACATAAATGCCACATTACCTCATTAAATTAATGGCCCAACTGAGAATAATGATCTATCCAAGTTGACATATTTTTGGGGAGAAACAATTTGATCCATGACATTTTATGAGAAAAAATGAGAAACAGTAAGAAAAATGGGCATGGAGCCCATCCTGTGAAGACTCAGGTTCCCTGCACTGAGAACCTCTTGCTGTTGTTAAGTGCCATCGAGTGGTTCTGACCCATAGCGACCCTGAACAGGGTTTCCGAGGCTGTAAATCTTTATGGGAGCAGAAAGCCTCATCTTTCTCCCGCGGAGCAGCTGGTAGTTTCGAACTGCTGACCTTGCGGTTCGCAGCCCGATTCATAACTACACTACCAGAGAACCTCTTAGACCTGGAGAAAATTGATGCAAAATACAGACATCTCCACAGAATGGGAGGCCCACAGATGTTGTGACAAGCATCTTCCCAGAGCATCCTGCAGTTGCTTCTGTCTTCCTAAAGTGTGAAAAAAGAAAAGGCCTAGTGATCTTTTACCTTATAGTTTTATATAAGCAGGTTTGTTAAAACCATCACGTGTTCTGTTATAGCAGCAATAGGTAACTAAGATGGGAAGTGCTACTATTTTGTCCAAGGTTATCAGAGAATGTCTAGTAAGTGTTTGAACTAGAACTGAAGTAGAAAGGATATTTTAGTATGTAGGATATAAAACTGACAGGATTTGAAATGGTGATGGAGAGGAAGAGAAAAGAATCAAAATGACTGGACATAAGTAAGGGAATAGGGGAATGCAAAACGAAGAGAGCTCATGAGCTATTTTAGATAAACAGAGATAGAACATCCACATGACATCCATCAATCAATTTGGTGTGGCATAATGAAGACGGGGATTTAAGGCCTGAATTTTTGGACAATCTTTTAGCCATTGCTAAAAATACATGTCATAAGGACTCCTGGTGTGGTGCTGTGTGTTTTGAACCGCAAGATTAGCAGTTCAAGTTCACTTTGGAAACCCGAAACGGGGTTGCTATAGGTTGGAACTGATTCAACAGCACTCAACAAGGACACCTGGTGCGGCGTTGCAGGTTCAGAATTGGTTGGACTATGAACCACAAGGTCAGCAGTTCAAACTCACCAGCTGCGCCTCGGGTACCTGATAAAGTTGCTTTGAGTCAGAACTGAATGACACTTAATATTAGGCTTGGAGTCTTCGTGTGGCGCTATGGGTTAATGTGCCAGTCTGCAAAGCCATTTGAACTAGTAGTTCAAGCTTAGTAGCTGCTCCTCAGAAACCCTATACAGGGTGGCTACGGGACAGCACTTAAAATATTAGGATTGCCTGGTGCCAAATTTAAGGACATGGTTAGTATAAGTGGTCTAATAGTAAATATGAGTATGGGATTTCAACAGGATGGTGAAGATGCCTAGGAGAAGTTTAAGAGGACTGAGGAAATATTTAAATCAACAGAAGTAAATTTTACCTGAGTGAAAATTAAGTTCAAAGGTCTATAATAAAAGTGATATGATGGCGTAGGTGTCCTGGTATGGCGCTGTGGGTTAATGTGGTAGACTACAAAGCCATTTGAACTGCAAGGTCTGTGGTTCAAGCTAACCATATGCTCCTTGGAAACCCTATACAGGGTCACTGGGTTGGAACCAACTTGATGGCACTTAATGATGGGTTTAAAAGTAGGTTTTGACTAATTTTTGGGGACCTTTTTATCCTTGTAAGGACTCTAAATAATGTGAAGTTTTAAAACAGTAAAAAAAGGTTTTAGGTTTATGGAAAGAATTATGGCATCATGGTGGATGACTTACTAGAATCTAAAGGCATGAGAGTAGGTTAATATACTGGTAGTGCTCAAGAGAGGAAGCAATGGGAGGCAGGGATTAAGAACACAACAGATCTAGTATCCACGAAACTGTTAAGTTGCTTGTGATCAGGGGAAGGTGGTTTCTGAGGTCCAGCATTACTTTCAAGGAAAGTAGTTGATGATGGAGAATGTATAAATTGTTTTGGACACAAAATATTTAACCTATTGGAATCCTGGTGTGGTGCTGTAAGAGACGCACTAGACAGCAAGGTCAGTTTGAACTGCAAGGTCAGCGGTTCAAGCTCACCAGCCACTTGTTGGTAATCTTGTACAGGGTTACTATGATTCAGGACCACTCAACAGCACTTAACATGTAAAACTTTTCTTATGGTGACCCCATAAATTAAGAGTAAACTGTGCTCCATAGGGTTTTCAGTGGTTGATTTTTTGTAAGCAAACCACCAGGCCCTCTTCTGAGGTAGACATGGGTCTCGATTGTTTGTACCTCCCAAGGATACCTGGATAAGGTAAAAGTTCTGCGTTCATGAGCTATACCATTTTCATGGATAGTACAGTAGATGAGTCCTGCTGTGGTGCTGTAGGATAAGCACTTCACCCTAAAGTTGGCTTGAATGGAAAGGCTGGCAGTTCAAACTCACCAGCTGCTCCTTGGAAGCCCTATACAGGCACACAACACAACAGGTTGTCATCTAGAAATATAATTAGGTGGATGATAGTCATAGAGAACACTGAATGCCCTGAAGATGCCAAATTGAGTTTTTAAAGTAAATACATTGCTTTTCTTGTTAAAGGTAGTGTGAAACCTCAGACCAGTCATTCCCATAGTTAATAAAGTGAGGTAAATTGCTTCCTGTTTTATTGCTATTATTAGCAAATTTATTACTCCCCTTTGCATACAAGGATGCAAGATTAGAGCATGATCTCCTGTAATCCATCAGATGTTTTGAATCATTCCTTTGAATGTTGATGTCCTGTTTTCCTTCCTGGATTCTAAGTTTTAAGATATTTTTATTACTAGCATAAAATACAAGCAAATTCCAGAGTACAATCCTCCGATAGGAACCCCTACAACCAACTCCGTATCAGACCATATATCTAATTTCTTCCTTTAAAGAATGTCAATGCTCAACATGTCTTTAAAGGTTTATATTCAGTTTGTCTTACAAAGCCTGTTGTTCACGGAATCCTAGTAATAAAAAAATCCCATCCTGGCATCAGTAGTGCTTAAATTGTACTATGCACTTGGCATTTAAATTATGTAAACAGCTTTATATAGTGTTAGACTTTCTAGTTAAGATTTTCCAATAGTGTATACTTTGAAATCATTGTTGCTGCTTCCTTTTATCTCAAATTCACTGCATAAAATTGTGTTTCCTTTAATATCCATATATTGGAGATATCAATGTCCTATCTTGAGAATGAACATTTCCCCCATTACCATGACTTAGTAAATATCTTTCTTGTAAGTATTTCTAATGTGGCTTTTCAGGGTTTCAAGAAAGAGCAACATTTATGCTTAATATATGAAACTGTTCATAAACTTTCAAAATAGCTCATATGAACTTATTTTACTTACCCCACGTACATTTTTCTAAATGCAAGCTTGAGAATAATTTGTGAATGCAATCACAGAAACTTTAATGAGAAAATCCAACAGGCATTTTTAATTGGGAAGGAACTATTCAGACTAATAGTTAATATGCCTGCTGGAATGTCCTCCTTTGAAGATTCATTTGGAAAACTAAAAAGTAAAATTAAACAAAGTGTGCACTAAGAGATCTCTCTTTTCTTTCCTTGTCCCATTGCAGAACGGCAGAAAGCAAAACATTGTTTAACCTGCATTTTTAAGTCTTTTAAACATAATAACCAACCATATCAGCTCCATTCAATAGCAGTAACTATAGTCAAACATTGTGTTTATCAACTGAAGGGAAATAATAGCATAAAAAGAATTTACATATCAGAAACTTGGTCACACCTACAACACTTTGATGAGTCCTAGTGTGGCACTGTAGGATAAGCACTTAACTGCAAGGTCAGCAGCTCAAACTCATTAGCCGCTCCTCAGAAACTGAATACAGGCTTGCCATGAATCGGAACCAACTCCACACAACTTAACAACACTTTGAACTGGTGTGGCATAATAGGATAAGCACTGGACTGCAAACCACAAGGTCGGCAGTTCTAACCCACTAGCTGTTCCCCGGAAACCTGGTATAGGGAAGCTATGAGTCAGTACCAACTCAACGGCACTTAACACAAATTTTAAATCAAATAAAAATCGAATTCATGAAAACCAGTGAAATTATCTTCTACTTCTTCCTCCTTTACTGGAGCTGACATGTTGACAACTCAAACTTATGTACAACATATTTGATGCAACCTCATCATGCTGCTGCTGCTAAATGCAGTCAAGTTGGTTCCAACTCACAGCAACCCTGTATAGGGCTTCTGAGGAGCAGCTGATCAGTTTGAACCACTGACCTTGTGGTCCAGTGCTTATCTTACAGCACCACATGTATACTTCTGTGAAATATTTGTTAAGTGCCTTGGATTTGGTTCCGACCCATAGCGACCCTGTATAGGGTTTCTGAGTGACTGGTGAGCTTAAACCACCAACCTTGCAGTTCTAACGGATTTGCAGTCATGCATTAACCCACAGTGCCACACCAGGACTCCACTGTGAAATGTAAGTGGTAGTATTTCCACCAAGTTGTTCAAGGAATAATGGAATTAAAAGATAGAATTTTTCTATGAATTTTGTGAAGCTCCCTCATAGACCCACAAAAGCATTAGTTTAGAAACCATAAACTGCTTTAGCCACCTTGCTAAGTTTAGTCAGTAGAACATAACTCTTAGAAACTGTAATATACACCTTATCTTCTTGTGATTTGCATTTGTTAACCCCACTTTAGTAACACTGCTCCTGAAAAGCAGGGTGACTCTGTAGTATAAATACTGAACTGCAAACCACAAGGATTGTGGTTTGAATTTTCAGGAAAGATGAGACTTTCTGCTCCTGCAAAAAAACAATAAAGATTGACAGCCTTGGAAACCTTATACAGAGTGGGAGTTGCTGACTTAGAGCCAACTCAAAGGCACCTAACAACAAAGGTCATTAATGACCCCATCACCAAATTGACTTTTTCCTAGATTCACAACTCTGCTCTTAGACTGCAAGTTCAGTTTGAACCACAAGGTCGGTTCACCAGCAGCTCACCAGCTGCTTCTTGGAAACACTCTATAGGACTGGTATGAGTCGGAACTGATTTGATGGCACTTAACTGTATTTCTTTCCTACCATTTTGATCATTAAAAAAAAAAAAAAAGGATTGGATGGAATCGAGCTCAAGGACAGAAGGGTGAAAAAAATAACAGAACAGCTTTCCAACATTCATAACCCTATTATGTAGTGAGGTTAAAAGTGTTATGGAAACTCTTGGAAAAGGGGACGATTACAACATATAGTTAGTAGAATCCTTTTTCTACAAAGCGTTTCAAAAAGTACATGGAAAAATGGAATTAAATTTTTTTTTCACACATCAAGCACTGAGAACTAGTTGGGCAAATAATGACAAAGGCTGGGACGCCGGTAATACTGTGTGATCTTTATTATTGAAAAAAATTTTAGTTGTTAAGAAAGGTTTTACAAATCAACAGTCATCTCTCTGGCTTCAGGGGCAGTGATTATCTACATATCTGTAGTATAGCATATTTATATGGCACATTTAATATTTTGTGACACACATTCATATCTATTAATGCTCAAGTTCTTGTTGGTTTCTAGAAAATCATCCATTGTTATTCTTGACCCACTTTCTTGAAGGAGGAAGATGTTGATATCAAGCCTGCAAAAAGAAGTGAGGCTCCATTTACTCATAAAGTGAATATGAAAGCTAGATTTGAACGAATGGCAAAGGCAAGAGAAGAAGAAGAACAAAGAAGAATTGAAGAACAAAAGTTACTACGCATGCAGTTTGAACAGAAGGAAATTGATGCTGCTCTACAAAAGGTACCAAGGCTTACATATTCTCTATCTTCCAGATGCTCTTAAGAACTTTAAATTTTATGAGGGATAGAAATATTAATACCTTTCAAGTCACGGAAATGTTCTATATAATTTGTAGTAAGCATACTAACATTTTCTTTTAAAATAAATGTATCTTCAGAATTGTATGACTAAATCAGTCTTAATTTTGTTGACATGTGGTTAATACTTTCTCACTTTGGTTACTGCTCTGAAAAAATATACACTGCTGCATCATAAATGCCATAAATATACTTCTATTTTAATATAGAAAAGAGAAGAGGAAGAAGAAGAAGAGGGTAGCATCCTGAATGGCTCCACTATTGAAGATGAAGAACAAACCAGATCAGGAGCTCCATGGTTTAAGAAGTCTCTAAAAAACACATCTGTTGTAGATAGTGAGCCAGTTAGATTTACTGTCAAAGTAACAGGAGAACCCAAACCAGAAATCACATGGTGGTTTGAAGGAGAAATACTGCAGGATGGAGAAGACTATCAGTATATTGAAAGAGGAGAAACCTATTGTCTTTATTTACCAGAAACTTTCCCAGAAGATGAAGGAGAATATATGTGTAAAGCGGTCAACAATAAAGGCTCTGCAGCTAGTACATGTATTCTTACCATTGAAAGTAAGAATTAATCACACTTTTAATCTAACTTTTCTATTTAAAATTTTCTTTAAAAAAAAAAAAAATCATTTTTCTTCTTCTCTTTTTTAGCTGACGACTACTAATCCCTTCCCTCCTTGCCCCCCGGAACTTTCTCGCTCTCCTCAACTTTCTTACTACATCCATCTTTTCTGTGGCGGGGTCATAAAGGAAACCAGGAGTACCACTGTACTGATTTCTTATTCCTTTTCATAAATCTGCAAAACACAAGGTCCTCTAAAGAACACCAACTTCCTTTCCTAATGAACACCAGAGTCAATGGCATATCATGCAGTAGCAGTCAACAAAAGCATATATCAACGGGGGTAGGTGGGGGGAAATTGGGAAATTTATTCATTTGTTCTATTGAACCCAATTAAAAAGACTATTTCCTGTCAGAGTTTACAATTAACTTTTTTTAAAGCATAAATGGAATGCATTATTTTGCATGAAACAATGTCATTTATGGGCTATTCACCTACAACTAGTATAAAATAAGTAGCATTTAATTAATATTGAATCTATCAATTTGAGTGGATTTTTTTTTTCCCCCCCCTATAGTTGTCTTTTATTTTGGTTTGTTGTAGTTTCAAAGTACTTCTGAAGCAGATCTCTATGTTGGGGAGAAAGAAGTTAATAACCCATGGGGAAAAAAACCCCTGAAATATGATTTTGAAGAAATCTGATAGAAGCTTCTGCCAAAATGTTGAAAGTATTCAATTATTTTTCAAATGTATGTAGTAATGTATAGTAAATTTATTTCATGATCTTACAGAACAAATCATATTTTAATGAGAAAACTTTTTTATTAATAGTTCACATAGGAGAAAACTTTCAACATAATTAAAACTTTTAAGAGGAAAGTTTATTAAGATTTGATTCAGAAAATAATGGAAAAACTTTGGTTTCAAATTCTGAATCTTTAAAAAGAGTTTGTAAATAGTTAGCTACCATGTTCTAATATCAAGTTGTTTTATATTTTAATTTCATGGAAGACAATTTTACTTTTCAATGTAAACCCATATTAAAGAAATTTCTGTATTAAAGAGACAAAACACTTCCTTGTAATATTCAATGTACATTTATTTACTTTTTATTTAAGAAGTCATAATCAATACAAAATTCCAGCAATCATATACCTTTTTTTTTTTTTACACACAATATCATTAAAGCAAGCTCTCAACCACAGTTTGTAAAGTATTCAATTTACCTCAAGTCCAAGCTGCATCTCCCTAAGACACTGTTCCCATCACAGTAGCCATTTTAAGCCAATCTTCTTTTTACACACGGGTAGTTTCTGCAGAGAACGCTTTTCTCAGGACGAAAATGCATCAAGCATGCATAAGAAAAAATATATATATGTATATGCGCAAATACATTTAAGAGAGCTTCTAAAGGGGCATCATTGAAGAAAATAAAAAACCTGGGATTTATTTGCTTCTTAAAAGCAACAATAATCCCTCAAAAGTTTTTTTGTGATAAGAAAATTCAAGTGACATTACTAAACAAAAGATAAGATTATTTTCAGAATAAAAATTATCTTTAACTAGCTACTGTTTAAATGCATTTAAAAATGTGGCAGAATTTGCAGAAAATAAGACATGCTCATTGAATTATAAATTCTACATTATTATTCTAGGCAAGATAATTTTCTAGGTAGTACTGTTTTTTCTGGCAGAGTATTCAAACAAATGAAATGTGGTAATTCTGAATATATTCCTATTTCCCTCTGAAGAAACTTTACTAATGCCTACCCCAAGCCCACTTTTATGAATTAACCTCGGAAATATTTAGATATATGTTTATAAACCACTAGTATCAAATCACTAGTTTAAGTATTAAAATAATTTTTAGTAGTTAAAAAATAAAAGTAGGCTTTCTCATTACTAAAGGAAACATCAAACCATTAAAATTCTAAGTATCACTAAAATCTTAAAAAAAATTAAAATTTAAGTGCCAAATTAAACAAATCAGTTTAATTTCAATCTAAACTAAACACTGTTTCTAACACTCCTAGCATCCATTGCAATTCAAATCAACTGGCTCACCTTTTCTGCTTTCCATTTTATTTCAAGGTTAAGAATTAGCGCCATTTAATAAATGCTGTAGCTATAAGCGAAGGCTTATGGTAATGAATAAAAAAGTTCTCATGAGACAGAAACATTGCCCTAATACCTATTAGCATTGATCTATATTTTCTTTTATAAAAAATTTAAACTATAACTAACCAAAACTTGACAGGATCTTAAGGTTCAAAATCTTCTTTATATTAATTTTAACATACCTATTATTGACTATTAAAACACAAACACACACACACACACATAAATGTGGTGCCATAAGTACATTTAAAAAACTGAACAGTTCTTGAAACATTTAAGATCAAGTGACCAGTACTGAAAATGAAAAGTGATCAAAGCAGGTACATTACACCCTATACCATATTGTATGGGTATACATTTCATATTTCTCAATCATGATTTGCCAATTTTACCTTCTACATTGAGCCCTTCTATGGTCCATGCTCATCGGCTCACCAATGGCATACACTCAAAGGATTCCTCTTTATGGGTAACTATCTCAGGACCTGATATTATGAGCTATGATTTGGTGCTTGCAGCATCTTCAGCACTGTGTGTGAAAATGAAGGCAGTATTTTTGAATATTTTTCTTTGTTGTAGAGATAAGCAGGAGTTTTAAAAGGATCAGCACATTTAGAAATTGAATAAACAAACTTGTAAGATGCTGCTTTAATACATTCATCTTAACTCAGAGTACCAGTTAAAATTATAAGAACAAATAAACATTTTAAACTGGCAAAAATTAAATGCAGTGTCAGTTATTAATGTTATTATAAATTAGAAAAAATATTGATTGCTATACAGATTATGAAAGCTTATTTGCTATACAGCTAACATTTCACTGATGCACGTCTTTTATTAAAACATACTGCCAGTATTCCTTTTCTCAGAATATAGAAGTTATGAAAACAGAATTGTTAAAAAAAAAAAGAAAGATCACAGTAAAACTTTAATCCACAATGTCCTTACTGAATTACTGTAGTTCAAGAACAAGAATACTAAAAAACGCACAGCAAAGAAAATGTCCTGTCAATCATATAGACAGATTGTGAAGGCTGTTGAAGTTTCTAACCAAGTGATCTCCTAAATCTTGAAACAATTGCTCTCTCTCTTAATTCTAATAATGCTTCTATACTCGGGAAAAGATTACAAAAAGATTTGGATGTACTTCTATTAGAGCAGCAATCTACTAAATTTTTTATTTAAAAAAATCTAAAATAAAAAAACATTACCCAGTAATGTATACAGTTGCTTGAACAATTTACAGACTTTCCACTGAAATGGTAGCATAAATAACAAAATACATTTTGGGGAAGCATTAGCAGATTGCTTTTGAATACACAACCACAAAAATCTCACAGGGACAACATTAATGTACTGAAATATTAAATTATACATGTCCTTAGGTTGTGCTTACCTGTTGCTTTTTGCAGCAGAACCTAAGGTGGAAGGTCTGGGAAGGCACTGTGAAGTATAAATAATTGCACTGTTTGCAATTAATAAAGATTTTAAACCTTAAATGAATCAAAATCAACAGCCTCCATTTTGTGAATTATGATACTGAATCCAATGGACTATTTGTTTAGTTTAATTAATAAATGCACCACTTTTCTAAAAGGTCATCTATAAAACAGTATCATGCAAAACTGAAATAGTTCTAGTCAGTACCCTACTCTAAAGATAATAGATACCTAATTCCTTAACTGTTAATTCACACTAGAACTATATATCTGGATGTAAATATGGGTAAGGGACATCACTACAGAGTCTATAAAAACAATAAAAAACATTTTAAAACAGCTACAATGAACTGTACTATTTTCCACCTTGTAGGTAATCTCAACATTTATGCCCTTGACTATCTTCCTTTAAATATATTCAAAACAACAAATGGTGCTCTCCACCAAATAAAGAACTGACATATATTTATGAAATGGAATTGAATTGCTACATTGTTTATTATCTGCAAACTGAAAAACCACTTCTATCTGATACATTTTCAAGTCTTTCATATTAATAAGATATGCATACTTTACACTAATAACAATTATTTTAGGAGCACCAGTGAGTAATACTATTTAACTTTGTTAATGATCAATCAGTTCTTTAGCTATAGCTAAAGCATATAAAAAATACTTACCCATTAAGCTCACTTAAAAGTAAAATACAGACCTATGTATTACTCTATGTTAAATTAAGAAGCAGTTATGATATTCCAAGATATCAGCACTGTATTCCAACATAATATTCACACAAAGTATAGCATTTGCATTATGTGGAACATTGACAAAAAGATACTGTTGCAGTTCATCAATTTGTCATTCTCATGTACTTACAGTGCAATGCTCCTTGAAGGAACACAATCAAGGATGATACACAGCACAGTCCTCCTCACCCCTACAGAGCTAGCTCTATACTGGCTGGATCAAACCTGCACTTCAACAGACAATGGCAAGACAGACTGTATTTGCATGTAGTCTAATATATTAATATGCAAAGAGCCAACAAATATGCAGAGAGTAAAACAATGGATTTCAACAAAATATCAGAACTTCAGCATGAGTGTTAAGAGTAATAAAATGATTTTAAGTACATAAAAAAAACTTAAGTTGATTCAATGACTGGACTTGAGCAATTACAAAACAAAGCTTTATCTATACTACAAAAAGAAAAAAAAGGCTAGAAAGTTTTCATATCCCAAATTTGTTTCAATGATGCAATGTAACTAATTTTTCAGACTATTTTTCTACCCTACATTTAGAGAGAAACACACTAATATTGTACACATTGAAAGAACTGCTTTACAAGAAAAACAAATCAAAACAAAAAACCAACTCTTCTTATTATACTACTCATATTCACTATCCGAAAACTGTTTAAAATTAGTTTTGCTGAAACAGTCTTGGAAATAACGTAATTATCAAATTAAGAATAGAAAAGGTTAACTGTTATAGCAGCAGTACAGGTCTGAAACAGTGGTCTTGTATAAAAGGAAATTTCACTGTTAATGCAATGGAAGTTTGCCAAAAGATCATTGTATACACATGCAGTTTTTAACCAAACTGAAGGGAAAAAAAATGAAGAGATCACAGGATTACTTGTGCTGAGACAGCCAAATACAATAAATGGAAAAGATCCTCCAATCTACTACTATACTGCAACGGGGAAAAAACATACCAGTGTTTAAAAACTCAATTAATATTCCATGGGGAAAGCTTATATATTTGTGTATATGTATCTTATCATTGCTAAGAAATTATGAATCCTTTAAATTACCCACATATCCAACTTACCGACACAGGAGGTTTCATATCATTTATTGTAAAGCACAAAACAGGCATTTTAAAAGTGAAAGTATACATTGAAAAAAGTACATTTATATCACAAAGCATCGACCACATAATAGTTGCAAATACATTTGCTGGAATGTGTACATCTACACTAAATACTAAAAACAAACCAATTTTCATTTCTACACAGAAATATTAACCTCCTATCAGTAGTGATAGATATTTTGTACATTTTCAAAAAAACAAATAAAAAAACAAAACAAAATAAAAAAACAACAAAAAAAAACACTATTTTTTTTTAAACCAAAAACAAAATTAAGATCTTCATCAAGTCGTCTGCATCCATATATTTAACAAAGGTTTTTTTCCCCCACACAATGAAGCAAATACTGTATTGTCCACTTCTTATTATTGGCCCTGTGCAGAAGAGATACATAAGAAATACACAAAAAGTTAAAGAAAATCCTTTAAATGGAGTTAACTCAGGAGTGAATCCTTTAAGAAAGAAAAACTGGTTAATATAAATGGTGGTGGCTTCTTGCATGATTTTCAAATCCCTGGGGGAAGAAAATTTATTTTTAAAATCAAAGGAATTGTAGAGATATTTAGCACTCAGATGCCAGAAAGCATTAAAAAAAAAAACCCAAAAAAAAACAAAAAACAACAAAACTAAAACCAAAAATCCCAAACAATACACCACAGCAATTTCACTTAAATGGTTATACTGTGTCAGGTAAAATTAAAAAGGCAAACATATTCCCAAACAGACAGAGCAAACATGCAAAAAACAAACCAACAAATTTATTATACCTGAGGTGCTGGAGGATGCTGTGGCATTCCCTGTGGACTTGTCTGGGCATAGTAGGCTGCTTGTTGTCTATAGTACTCAGCCCAGGCTGCACTATAATCTGGCTGACCACCTGGAGGGGCCCCAGTAGGAGCAGGAACTGCTTGACCTTTTGAGAAAGCAGAACAACTTTGTTGCTGTAACCACAATAAATTGCCCCAAAGAATCTCATTTCTAATAAAAACAATACCTTGCTTCTTGTAATATTCCTCCCAAGCCTTTGAATAATCTTGTGTCTGCCCTTGTTGACCTAAAAAAAACCCCCTAAATTTTAATATAAAATTATATCCACTGTAATTACAGGTTACAAAGACAAATGTACAGAGGGTCAGAATGTTCCGGTTCTATTATAAGTATTCATTAAGTATCAGAAAATGACCCTGTAATTAAAAAAAAAAACCAGAAAAACAGAATGTTCCTTATTTCCTCTTTTAGTGTACATGACTCTTATTTCTAGAACATCACTATTAATAAAATGAAACAAAACCACACAATCCACAGTTTAACTAAGAAAGGTCAGGATTTAGGCATTATCTTGATTCAGTATTTATAAACTATTAACGCACTAAATGTGCTCAGAAAGTGCTTTAAGTAAGTGTTCTATAAACCTCTAGATGGATATCTAGCTTAATGATAAACAGTAAAGGGAGTGGGGACAAACCTCATTATTTTCTTTTTGGACTTGTACTCAACTGGTTTACTACAAATTTTAAAATGCAAATTCTCAAAAGAGAAACAGGGAAAGAAACATTTCTGAAAAAACAAACAAAAATGGACACCTGGTGTGGCTCTATAAGATCAGCACTAGACTGTGAACTACAAGGTTGACAGTTCAAACCCACCAGCTGCTCCTTAGAGACCCTAAACAGGGTCGCTATGAATTTTAACAGACCCGATGGCACTTAGCAGCAACTTAAGAAGACCTGACGTAAGATTTTTATTTCCTATTCATTAGTAACCTATACACTATATATAGAAATAGGCAAGATATCGTTTTTCAAGATGATAAAAAATAAAGCGCAATTTTATTAAAACAACCTAATAAAGACATAAATAACAATTAATGAAGAGTTTCTAAGCAACAGAATCAATGAAGCACAAATTCAACAACTTTCTTGAATAGGGCTTTTTTCTAAAAAGGAAGACGTTTCTGAAAGAGACGTAACAACCACGTGCAATACAAAGCTCAAATAAGTTTTGAATTATATATAAGACATTTTGGTGGTAACCAAGAAAAATTAAATATGAATTGTATATGGATACTATGGTATAGTGATAGAAGATACAAAGATATAAATACGGCTAATAGCTATTATTTTTTCTAATTTTTTGAAGGTATAAAAAATTCTAAAGTAAAATATTAGTGAGAAGAGTGTGTGTTTTCACATTTATTTCTTTTATTTAAATACTCTTGTATCTTGTTTCCAATTCACTTGGCTCTAAGAAATAATACAAGTAGACAAAAACTACTAGAGCAGATGAATAAAAATTTAAGATTTTTGACTATTAACTTCAAAAATGCATGAAAAACACATACTTTAGGCAACAAACACTACACAGAAAGTTGGTATATTATTTAAAAAATTCTTTTCTCTTTTTCTCCATAATGCTTCAAAGTGGGAAGTGGGTTTAAGATTTGATCTTATGAGATACAATTTAAGCAAATCTGAAACAAGTCTAAATATTTAGAAAATTGCTCAACAGCAATAAAGTCACACACAAAAAATCTCTTATGAAGACTGCAAAATTGAAAACCTGATATGACTTGAGACCAAAACTTGGTTAAGGTAGTAATAATCTTGTTACTTCAGGTTTTAAAAAATAAACTAACATCATTATGAGAGGTACTTCACTCTAAGAGGCAAAGTATTATATGACAGAAAGAACATGGAGACACAATAAATAAATTCATCAGACTTAAAATGCGTCCTAAAACACTATTCAAACTCAAATATCTTGTGCAAAGAAAGACTAAGCTTAACATCCAACATTTGGTAACTGTCAGCATTTGATATTCAAATCTTGCAAATACCCAAAGAAAAATTCAACCCATTCTTCTGAGGGGCAAACCTAATCCATTTTGCACAGCTAAAGGAAGAGAAAGAATCCTTCCCATTGAATCCACTTGGTTCTGTTCTGGCTTCCTGTGCCCCATCCCTTTTAGGCATATCTTTAATCCCCATCCCCTTTCTTCCTCTCATTTAAAAAAGTTTTGATGTAATAGAGTTGACCATTTAATAAAGCATTACCTAGTGGCGTTGCAGGATAATTCACTGGACTGCAGTGTTGGCAAGAATTGCAAACTCAGCAGTTCAAATCCACCAGCAGTTCCTCAAAAACCCTATACAGGGTTGATACAAGTTGGAACTCACTCCATGGCACTTAATGTTTTTACAAACAGGTTTATAAAGTACAAAGTGTTACCTAGATTTCATTTCATTCCATTCAAGAGACAATTTGTCCTAGAATTGACTTGTAATATTTTATTACAGATTCTCACACTCATGTTACTTCTCTATACAACTTTCCCACAATTTCTCATTCTCCCCACCTTTCAGACCTAACATACAGAGCCCACTATATATCAGTGTTAAACAGTAAGAAGGCCCTTCCTCATGTTAAATGTCTTCCTAAGAGTCTACTCTCATTCTCCTCAAAACAACCACTCTTTGCAAGCCTATTTGTTCTGAGTTTTTCTCATTTACTACACAACTTCCCTTCATTCTAGCTTTAAAAATGGTCATCACCAGATTGCATTCTGTCTTTACAGGACTTAAAATTTATTCTTTAATCCCTAGCAGCTCATCTTTAAGATTTTGTCTTTATAGTCTGTTAATGGAATTTTCTATTTCATTGAAGAAAACACTAAATTAGGAGTCAGAAACTCTTCCTGACTAAAGAGTCATATCACAGCCTTTTCAAATAAGGGGACTGGATTGGAAAACTAAGATCTCTACTTCCTTGATATTTTATAACTCTTCTCAGTTTTAAACCGTAAGTTTCCTTATTGGTAGTTATCTCAAAAAGATCTAGCAGGAATACATGTACCTAAGAAGAAATTAGAGCAGTTAAGCAACAAATCTTTTACAAAAAGAATTCTTACAGGAAAAAACAACAACAACTCCATCTTAGCTATCATGATACCATAAAGATTTACCTAAATTAAAACAAACAGTTGCTGTCAACTTGACACAACTCAATAGTCACCTTATGTGTGACAGAACTGTGCTGAAGGGGTTTCCATAATGGCCTATTTTGGGAGAAGTAAAATTTTAGGTCTTTCTTCTGACATCCCTCTGTGTGGACTCAAACCTTCAACATTTCAGTTAGCAGTGAACTGTATGTTTCTACCAGCCAGGGATTAAATTACCTAACATTATTTCCTTTGAGATTTGCATAAGAAGGAATCATCTGACTGCTATACTTTACTCATAAAATTAACACTTGACCAATACACAGTATTTTACCACAGTAAAACAAACAACAGAAATGAGGTGTGACTCAATGGGCAAAGATGAGGCAGTCTGCTTCCAAAAAGATTTACAGCTCCAGAAACCCTAGAGTGCAGTCCTACTCTAACCTATAGGATTGCTATGTCAGAATCAACACAATGGCAATGAACTTGTTTCTCCATAGTAGGATTCAACAGTTTGGTATATTATTTTAATAATTAAAAGGATTAAGCACAGTTAACAATAAAATAGTCTCAACCACCCACTCCTTTAGAACAAGTCCAGTCCTAGTGTCGCGCAGCAGGATTAAACACTGGAAAACTAACCATTAAGGTCAGCATCAGCTGCTCCTCAGAAACCTAAGAGTTGTAACAGACTTGATAGCACTTAACACCAACTAGATAAAATTCAACTTGGGCTCATGGCTTTTAACCTCAACATACTCAACTCTTTAAACCAGTGATACTATTTCATTAAAATCAAGGTGAATTGATAATTAAGCTGCCTCGGTATAATTATTAAAAACATTCTCATTAATTTTCAAAAGTATATTGGTTTGGATAATACATTATGAGTGTAAAAATTTTTTTAAGTTTATTTTCATAGAATTTAGCTGTTGGAGGTTTTGTGGCCAGGCCACAAAAATGTAAATTTATGAATGTTACAGCCTCATGAATCACATTTAGCCTGACTTTCCTAGAAAGACATTCTACCACGGAATAAAATTTTCTTTCTTTAAATCAGAAATCAGCTGTGTAGACCACTACACTTTCCATCAGGTATATGTAACTAAAAACAACAAAATCCTTCTGGAAACTTTTTGTGGAAAATGAAAACCTGTTTGCAAAATAAAGAACACTGAAATTTACACCAAAAGTCAAAAGCAGACTGTATTATATAATAAAATTCTGTCATCTGTAGCTACTTTGGGAATACGGTGGGGCTCCATACAATAAGCATTCGACTGTTAACTACAAGGTCCATGGTTTGAGCCCACCATTTACTCTGATGGAGAAAGATGAGGCTTTCTGCCTCTGCCTCAGAAACCCTATAATCTATTTAAAGATTATCTGACTAACAACCGTACCCTCCATTAAAATTTAATAGCCAGTAGGATACAACTCATAGATGACATGTTGTTAGGTGCCATTGAGTCGGTACCAATTCATAAAGACCTTATGCATAGCAGAAAGAAACACTGCCCGACCTTGGGCCAACCTCACTACTGTTGCCATGCTTGAGTCCATCAATGCTGCCACTTGGCCAATCCATCTTGTTGGGGGTCCTCCTGTTTTTATCTGACCCTCCACCTTATCAAACATGATGATACTGTTCTCTAGCCACTAGTCCCTCCTGACAATATGTCTGAAGTATGAAAGACGAAGTGTGGCCATCTTGGCCTCCAAGGAACACTCTGGCTGCTTCTTCCAACATGGATCTATTGGCTCTTTTGGCAGACCATGGCACTTTCAATATTCTCCTCCAACACCATAACTCAAAAGCATCAATTCTTCTACAGTCTTCCTTATTCACTGTCCAGCTTTTGCATGCATATGAGGTTATTATAATTAATTGCATTCTTAGCACTTATCACTATGTTTTGCATAATGTTAAGTGCCAGTGACTCGATTCTGACTCACCACGACCCTGTAGTGTCTCCAAGGCTTTACATCTTCGAGAGAGCAGAAAGCCTCATCTTTTTCCCTTGGAGCAGCTGGTGGGCTTGAACTGCAGACCTTGAGGTTCATAGCCCAGTGCTTATCATTTGGAGACATCATGTTACCCATATTAAGCATAGTTGTTGTTGTTGTTAAGTGCCGTCGAGTCGATGCCGACCCATAGCGACACTGTATAGGGTTTCCAAGGAGCAGCTGGTGAGCTTGAACCACCGACCTGCAGTTCAAACGGCTTTACAGTCTGGCCCATTAACCCACAATGCCACACCAGTACTCCATTAAGTATAGTACTATATGGTATATAGGTAATGAATTAAGATGGCTTTCCCAAGTGATATATGTATATGAAAAATATTATACATATATCACTTGGGAAAGCCATCTTAATTCATTACCTATATAGCATATAGTACAAACATCATCTAAGTCATTCATTTCTTGTCACTATAAGTAAGTCACTTCTTACCTGCTTTATTTTATAGCAAAAATAATGGTATCATCACACACCACTAATTTCTGCTTGTGCTTTAGAATTTAACTCTGACGTCATTTAGTATATTAATACATTAACTATCTTTGACAAAAGTGTAGGTAAAGTTCAAAGGTCATATTATCAGTGGGAAAATGTCTACGTTCAATAACTGGTTGACTCATTCAATTAGAAATAAAAAGATTTCCTTGTTAGATAACTGTAAACTTAGTTCTTTTTATTAGCATAGATTATTTGTAATGACTTTGATATGTCTCAAAGTTCAGTGAATTTAGAATATATTCTTGCTCAATTATTTTCACCTTAAGATTAAAAAAGTTAATTAGGAAATATTAAATCTTCAGCCTTTTAATGTGTTATTTATGAAATGTTCCAATTTAATTACGTGTACAAAAATGAAATGTAGAACATACCCATTTTCTTGTAGTATTCTTCCCAAGCCTTGGTATAATCAACCTGTCCAGCTGGAGCTGGATTTTGCTGATCTCCTTGTTCAAGGGGAAAAAAAAAAAAGAAAACCAAAATTAAACTGTTGAAAGGCAATTTGGCTCCTTTCCTTCAATTCCTGGAGTGAAGGACTTGGTAGTGGTTCCTATGCTATGGGGCAATAAGGGTACTGTGTGGTAGTAGCATCTCTGCTGGTAGGGCCAAAGACAGGTTGCTAAGGACACATTCATTTTTCTTCAGATTCAGCTTAAACTTGCATAGCTTCCAGACTCACAGCAACATACAAGCCACCACACTATGACAAAATGTCAGACAAATATATACACACATAAACGTTTAGTTCTGTATGTGTACACTTGTTAAAACCATATGTTCATATCAGTACTTGTCTGTAATTTCACTCATATGCTTCAGGACTCTTTCTAGCTGTTTCCCTTTTCTGTGTTTTAAATAAACTGCTTGGGAAAATATATATACTAAAGATACCAAGGGCCTCACCATTTAAAACACAGAAAAGGAAAAGGCTAGAAAAAGTTCCTCAAGTGTATGAGTGAAATTACAGGTACTCATATGAACATACTGTTTGAACAAATATATTTTCACACACACAGTCATATACAGAACTATATCAGGGCTGCCAACCAAAGAGGCCACCACTTGTTTGACATTTTGTCATACTGTGGTGGCTTGTGTGTTGCTATGAGTCTAGAAGCTATGCTATCAGTATTTTAGAAATCAGCAGGGACAGGGTCACTCATGGTGAAGGAAGGGGCTTTATAGGCAAATTCAGGCTAAAACAGAAGAAAATTAAAACAAGTCCACAAGAGTCAAAACATGACCTTGAGTATATCCAACCTAAATTTAGAGACCATCTCCAAAACAGATCTGATGTATTAAATCTAATGATAAAAGACCAGAAGAGTTGTGAAATAACAAAGAACATCATACCTGAAGCAAAAGGTCACTAAAAAACAGAAAAGAGAAAAAAGATCAAAGTGGATGTCAGAAGGGACTCTGAAACTTGCACTTGAATCTAGAGAAGCTGAACAGAAAGTTTCAAAAGGCAGTTTGAGAAGACATGGTAGTGGTTATGCGCTGTAGAATCGGTTTCAACTCATAGTGGCCCTGACCCTGTACAGGGTTTCTGAGGCTGTAAATCTTTACAGGAGCAGAAAGCCTCATTGTTTTCCTATGGAACAGCTGGTAGTTTTGAACTGCTGACCTTGTGGTTCACAGCCCAATTCGTAACCACAATGCTACCAGAACTGAAATATGTAACACCAATGTTCATCAAAGCAATATTCTTAATAACAAAAAGACGGAGACAGTCTGAGTGCCTATTAATGGAAAAATGGATAAACTTTGGTACATACACACAAGGGAATACTGTGCTACCTTGCAGAGTAACAAAACTACAAAACAGCTCATAACATGGATGAACCCTAAGGACATTATGCCAAGTGAAGTCAGTCAATCAAAAAGGACAAATATTGCATAAGACCATATTGTAAAAGCTTAAGAAAAAATTTCCATACAAATGAAAAATTCTTTGATCCTTACAGGGGTGTGAGGCAGGAGACAGTAATTCACAAGTTAGGGGGTAGACATGATAGCTTGGGTGACAGGGAGGGCAATATACAAGGAGGAGGAGAGTGATAGATGAACAATGATGATAGGGGAACTTACAAGGCATGACTGGGCTAAATGAGATAGAGGTAAACAGCTATGTGTGTACAAACTCGTAACAATCCTGTTCTGTGATACAGACATCAAGACATCGTCTGAATGGGTAAATTGTGGGTATTGGTTTCCCCTGCCTACTACTGTGAAATAGCTCTGGTAGCGCAGTTGGGCTGCTAATCACAAAATCAACAGTTTGAAATTACCAGCTGTTATTTTGTGGGAGAAAGATATAAAACTTCGGAAACCCTGTACAGGTTGAACCAACTCCATGGCACACAACCACCACCACCAACCACTACTGTAAAATACAAATTAGTGATAGAAATATAAGGAATTACTGAACGCTTATAAACCCGCCTGTAACCTATAATTGATTGGATTAGCTTAAAATAAATAAAAAATAAATAAATAAATAAATAAAAGGGGGGGGGGATTACAATTTTCCCAGAGAAATAGGCTTCTTTTTATTAAGCTTTTGTGGAGTAGGCGGCCTTAAGTAGAATCCTGAGCCCCACCCAAAACCCTCTGAAGTGGGACAGTCCCACTTTAAGAGACATGCAGATCAACCCTGAGCAGCTAGAACAGAAGATATTTCCTGAAAGAAAGACCAGTAGGAAAAAAGCAGACTGGTTGTCAAGACTATCAAGCAAGATGTTTGCCTTGGAGCCATTGAGTCAAGTCTATATTGAGTGGAAGTAGGGGAAATGTAGCAATGATGACCTGGGTTAAGTATGGCCATGTTCCACTAACACTCATTGAACTTGAAATGAGAGTGAGAAGAGGAAAGGCTGGCTGGTCTGAAATTTAAAGAAACATGTGAACTCCTGAGCCTATAGACACTGATCTAGCTAGCCGTGGGGGTCTAGAGTTGAGAGTGAAGCAGCTAGCTGGTCTGAAGTGGGGGCAGGTTGTGTGAGACCTCCCAAACATGCAGATAGTATACATTTGACCTAGCTTGGATGACTAGCTGACCAGAACTCAACCAGATGAAGATGAGTAAGTTTGATACAGGGAGCAAGTGTAAACTACTACAATTTGATGAACAGGATCTTTGCTTATGGATATAGTTGTTAAAAATTCTAACTGAAATGGAAGCATTCTTCATAATAAGGTTCAAGCCTGTTTTCTCAGTATACCAGGTTGATAGGGATGGGCAACTTAGACATTGGCTATGAAAAATGGTGTGGCACTGAGAGACAAAGCACTGGTCCCCAAGGTTGGTTGAAACCTCAAGATTGGCTGTTCAAACTCACCAAGCTGCTCCTTGGAAACCCTATACAGGGTTGCTATAAGTTGGAACTGACTTGAAGGCACTAACAACAATAAAGGAATGAATTGGCTGGCTTACAAGCTTTCGTGAGTATGCCTAGTTTCAGAATGAGGCGGGCAAGGTAGAATGCCCACTGAATAGTTTTACTCTTTTCCAGATGGATCTGATGAAACAGGATGGGGGATAATGGTGATAGAATTTTATGATTCAATTATGCGTAGTTGTTATCAAGACTAATTGCAATCCTCAACAACTGTAAATGAGTAAGATGTGTAAGTAAAGAGGCGGAATTAGTTAATCTTTCATTTGAAGAACAGAGGACCCTAGGACCATCAAGAGGGAAGAGCATGAATGGAGTGTGAGATCTTAACTAGAAAGCGGGGACAGCAGAGATAGTGACAGAGGTGATGACACAGAAAGATAGAACAGCTGAGAACTCTAGGCCCATGGACTGCAAAAGGCTGTGTGCCTGTGGTCCGGAGGCTGGCTTGCAAAATGTGCCCTCTGGACATTTAAATGAATACATATTTTTCACTTTGTATGTGTACATTAAAAAAAAAAGGGGGAGAGGGAATAGAGGTAAATACTTTTAACTGTTAATACATGGAGGGTACTGCAATCATTGAAATGAAATATGATTTAAACTGATATTCTGCCTTGTAAACCTTCACTCAAATCACAATAAAAACTTAAAAATATAAAAAACAAGGGTGCACAAACTCTTATGTAGTTAGAAAACCAAAAGGGAGTAACAAGCCAGCATTCCTTACACTGAGAAGAACTAAGGAAACAATTCAAACACTGGGTTGCAATGTTGACTCTATGGGTAAAATACTGAATATCGTATGAAGTATCAAAAGAAGATGGAAGGAATGCACAAAAATAATTCAAGTCTCAACTTGCCATACTGAAGGACACTATGGGCAAAGTATTGAATAATTAAGAAAGCATTAAAAGAAGACAGGAATAAACAGTTACTGTACCAAAAAGAATTGGTGGATAATCAACCATTTCAAGAGGTACCATATGGTTAAGGACTGATGGTACTGAAGGAAGAAGTTCAAGTGCACTCAAGGCATTGGCAAAAAACATGGCTCTAGGAATTAATGGCCTACAAATGGAAAGGTTTCAACAAATTGAGGTAGTGCTGGTGGTGCTCACTGGTCTATGCTAAGGAAGTTGGAAGGTAATTAAGAAGCTAACAAATTGGAAAAGATCCATATTGGTGCCCATTCACAACAAATTTTTACTTAAGGTAAAACAAAAACAGGTATAGCAATTCATCAACAGGGAACTACAAGAAATTCAAGCCGATTTCAGAAGAGTATATGACACAAGGGATATTGCTGATATCAGATGGATTATGACTGAAAGCAGAGAATACCAGTAGTGTTTACTTATGCTCTACTGACTATGCAATTGCATTTTGTCTATGTGGTTCATAAAAAACTATGGATAACAAAGAGGAAAAATGGGCAAACCAGAACACTTTCTCGTGCTCATGAAGAACTTGTGTATAAACCAAGAGGTAGTCATTGTAACAGAACAAGGGGATCCTGAAATGCTTTAAATGGTTTAAAATAAGGAAAGGTGTGTTCCAGGGTTGCACCCTTTCATTACACGTATTCAATCTGTATGTAAGCAAATAATTTGAGAAACTGGCATCAAGAACCCAGTTAGACTCATAAACAACTTTTGATATGCAGATGATACAACTTTGCTTTCTGGTAGTAAAGAGGACTTCAATATTTAACAGCAAAGATCAAAGAGTACACTATGGACTGCACCTCAATGAAAAAAAAAAAAAAAAAAGATTTAAGTTGTCAAGATTTCATTTTGCTTAGATTCTAAATCAACACTCATGGAAGCAGCAGTGAAGAAAACAGAAGACATACTATACTGCATTTGGCAAATCTGCTGCAAAACACCTTTTTAAAGTGTTAAGAGCAAAGATGTCCATTTAAGAACTAAGGTGAATCTGACCCAAGCCAGAGTATTTTTAAAAGCCTCATATGCATGTGAAAGTTGGACAATGAGTAAAGACTGTAGAAGGATTGATGCATCGGCTGGTGAAGAAATTTCAAAGTACCACAGATTGCTAGAAGAATAAACAAATCTATCCTGGAAGAAGTACAATCAGAATTCTCCTTAGAAGCAAGGAAAGCAATACTTCGTCTCTTGTACTTTTGTCTGGAAGGACCAGTTCCTGAAAAAGGACATCAGACTTGGTAAAGTGTAAGGTTAGAGAAAAAGAGGAAAATTCTCTAACAAGACAGACTAATATAGTGGCAGTAACAAAGGCCTCAAACTAACAACTGTAAGGATGGTGCAGGATTAGGCAGTGTTTTCTTCTGTTGGGAACAGGGTAGCTATGAGTCAGAAATGACTGGACAGCATCTAACAACCAAGGAAGCCTGGTGGTGATGTGGCTAAGTACTAGGCTATTACATGCCAAGCCTAGCGATTTAAATCCACTAGGTGTGACACTGTAAGATCAGCAATGGACTGCGAATCACATGCCAGCAGTCCAAACCTACTATCTGCTCCTTGGAAACCCTATACTGGGTTGCTAATGAGTTAGAATTAACTTCACAGCACTTAAAATACAACAACCTGCTCCATGGGAGAAAGATGAGGCTGTCCGTTCCCATGAACATTAGTTTCGGAAACCCTAACTATGGTCACAATGAGTTGCAATAGACTCGATGGCAGTGGGAGCCAATAAATTGGCTGTTCAAGCCAACCAAGCACTGTATGAGACAGATGTGGTAGTCACACTATGCAAAGATTCACAACCTTGGAAATTGCATGGGACAATTCTAGCGTCCTATAGGGTCACTGAGTTGAACTCAATAGCAGTGCCTTGATTTACTCAGGGATCCACTTACTATTTACGTGTATTTCCTAGCTCTGTTATAAGGGACTAGAAGCAATCCTATCTCTGTAGCAATGAGTACACTAAGCACACTGAGTATTTTTCTAAACATTGTTGTTACATGCCATTGAGTTAGTTTCTACTCATATCAGCCCTGTACAGGGTTTTCGAGGAGCAGCTGGTGGGTTTGAATTGCTGACCTTGTGGTTTGCAGTCCAGTGCTTATCCTACAGAGCCACATCAGGACCCACGTATCTTCTACTAAAAGAAATCAGGTCTCTTTATAGAGATTGTAGGGTTGGAGTCCAGAAAGAGAGTGCCTAAAGGATGGCAGAGCATGTCCAAAAAAATAGGAGCCACACCTTAGAGACACACCTGAATAAATGAATTATCGTATTTAATCTACAAAATAATAAACAAAAATAATTAGGAAATATGCTATTGAATGAAAAGGAACCCATTCAGTTATAAATAAATGGGGCGGGAAAAAGGAAACTCTTCCTTAAAAGTATAATGCCAACTAATAAATGTAGAATGATGGAAACAGAAAAATGCTATCATTGTGGTTAAATCAGGCAGGAGTTATTAATAGAGGCTAAGGCTAATGGGATAGTGGCATTTTTCAGGATTAGGAGATTCCCACAAGTGATCAAGGTTACCATCTGTAAGATAGAAGGTGGTCAACAATATGACCCCAACGTGGTAGAAAAGCACAAAATCATTTCTAAGGTATCCTGTCAAGTAAGCATGACACATTTTGTCATAAGAAAAAATTCTGCCAGTTATCTGATTAAATGAAAGGCTTGCATTCTTTAGAACACATAAGAAAAAACTGAGCAACTATTCCTGATTTCTCAGCCTGAAAAGATCTGTTCTCAATGACAAGACAGAAGTGAAAACTTGTTGGGACAACTGGTCACAAGTGAAAAGGGACTTTTAATTGGGAGTAGTAATGACATATCAATGTTGATCAGTAATTTTGAGGCCTGTGTGATAGCGATGCGATGCTTTTTTTTTTTTTTTTTTTTCGAAACACATGGAGTATTAATGGTGTTGAGCATCATGTCTATAGCTTGGTCTTAAAACGGTTCTAAAAAATACTAATGATAGTTGATGATAATGATAAAGACGACGATGGAGTAAATGAAGATAAAACATTAACTCCTGGGCTATCAGGGAATTTCTTACCTTTTTTTACAAAGTTTGAAATTATTTCAAAACAACTTTACAGAAGGAAATTGCATACTAAAGTTATCACATAAGAATGTTTGAAATTTTAGGAATTATGTAGTAATGCACCTCATTTAATAATTTTAGATACAATGTTTGCCTCTCGTGTACAAAGTTAAGTTCTTTCATTACCACGCTTACCTTGTCCATTAGTTTGGGTTGTAGTTGGTGCACCTGTAGGAGCTGCAGGTGGTGGTTGTGCTTGCTGCTGATAGTAGTGAGCATAATATGCAGCCCAGGCTGCTGAATTTGGATCTGTTCCTGCTTTAGCTAGAATAAATACAATGTCAAAAGTTTGCATTTGAAGTCCATAGTCAAACAAACAAAAATCAGTCCTTTGGCAACTATACAGAACCAAAAATGAACTATACACAAAAACCCAGAGTAAATGGAAATCTTTGAATTCTTTCTATTTGCTATCACCATTTTCTTTCTCAGAGACTAAGTGACTTCCCTGGTAAAACGAGTAGTATAGTTAGCAGAGCTGAATCCTGAATAATAATCTTTCGTCTACAAATTGCATGCTATGTCTCAAATAGTTTCTAAATTCATTTTGCTGTTATGTGGCAGCTGACTGAAGGAAAAGTTTCCCAGGTTTTAACTCATACAAGAAAAACACAAACTATTATTCTATGAAATTTGTTCTGTCTTGTTTTCAATGAAGAAACATATAAATCTGGGAAAAAGAAACAAGCTACTAAAATGGTTAAGTTTCTGTGTCAACTTGACTGGGCCAAGATTTCCAAAGGTATAGCAGTTAAGCAGTTAACTCTACAATGAGTGGCTATTTGCAGCCAATCAAAGAGATGCTTCCTTAGGAGTATGACCTGCTCCCAATATAATGGACACACAGGAAAAGGCTTTCTTTTCTACTGGGCCCTGCAGAAGACTCTGTAATTGAAAACAATAAACTTTTCTTTATGTATGTATTTCACAGGTTTTGCTTCTCTAGAAAACTCAGCCTAAGACAGCTACATAGCATCACAGTGTCTTAAATATAAACTCAAAGTCACTGCCCTATTTGAAATTCAAGCACAGCGTTATCATTCATTATCCCATTAACCTGAACTCTGTGAGTAATCCTTTCCATTCCAACCTCATGTTTCTTTATGTCTCTATTTCTTTAACATTCTTAATCTCTGGCTTAAGCAAGTATCTTACACTTTTCAGAAGCCATCATGTTTTCTCCTGTCCTGTGGCCATGTTATTATACTTCCAATGAACTTAGAGAACCCTCAACTCATCGCTCACAAATCAACTGATGCAGGAAAACTCTGAGACATACTAGCAAACTCCTTATTAATTTTGACCTTGGTAACATAAGTATCATACATTACTACTTTTTTTTTAAGTGCCATCGAGTTAATTCCAATTCATAGTGACACTGAATAAGGTTTCTGAGAAGCAGCTGGTGAGCCTAAACCAGCTTCAACTGCCAACCTTGCAGTTCAAATGGACCTTGTAGTCCAGTGCATTAACCCACAGTGCGACACCAGAATTCCACAGATAAATCTTTTATTAGTTTGTGTTCCCAAAAGAACGCACTTTACTGAGCCAGAGTTGGTACGTGATCTGTGTGTGTAGCCTTCATCCCAAATGGGAGCAAGTTTTAGCTGTCTAATAAAGGTTATTGAAGCCTAAATGCCACCCTCTAGATCTTTCAACTGATCAATGTTGGATACTTCATGTCTTAATACTGTCACAATCCACATAGTATTAGATAAATACAAATATTTCATATGACACTGTGATAGAGCAACTAAGATTTAAAAACCAATACCTTTTATTATCGATTTATAAAAACCACACTATATATTTGTTATGTGCCATGGAGTCGATTCCGACTCATAGCAATCCTATAGTGTAGTGGTTACACTATATATATATATCTATATGACTAATGTATATGAAAAACTTACTCATAACTGTATAACTTAATACTCATTTATCATTATGTTATAAAGAAAATAAGTTCAGAGGGATTAAAACACTTCATCAACATACCCTATTTATAAATTGTAAGGACTAGGACCTCTGCAGGTCTGTTTGCCTCTGAAGTCTGAAGTCTAATCTTGACAGAAAACTGAGGCTTGAGACTTTCCTAGGTTACACATTAGTGAGTGGAAGAGCTAAGATTTGAATAAAAATATTTTGATTCTAAATCTAAGAGTACCATCAAAGTAGAAATCTTATTTGTCAGTTTTATCCACCTGTGCCAAAGATCAAGCTAAATGATGCACACTTTGTAGAGTCAACACTGAAAAGTAAGAGTGGTAGGCAAACAATATGTATTATGTGTGAATGGAACAAATTGTTTACCTGGATCAGGAGGAGCCTGTTGCTGCCAATGTGGATATGCATTTCCCCACCCCTGAGGGGCATATGGGGCTGGAGGGCCACTGAAAAGATAAAAAGGAATATGAAAATATACCAAAAGCTAGAATATTTTAAGGAAAAGCCATGAACTAAGCCCCTAATACTTACTGAGGAGCTGGGCCAGGTGGTCCTGGATTATAAGGAGCAGGATTGTATGGCCCCATTGGAGTTCCAGGACCTGGAGGCCCAGGTGGCCCATGAGGGCCTGGGACACCATGTGGTCCATGGGGTACAGGTGGTCCTAAAGGATTTACTGGGCCCTGCAAAAAGAAAAGATGAAAATCAGATAAACTATACTGATTAAACAACCCAACTACCAGCATTTCTATGCTCTTATATAAGCTCATTCTTCATTTATTACCATGGTTAGGTTCTGAAGGCCACTGTGCAAAAATGGAAAAAGATCTGATCAGACCAGACCAAAAAAATGGGGAGAATGACTACAGCATTGTACCAACTGCATCATTACATAACTAACAAATGACGTACACAACTGCTAAAGCAAGTAGTTTAGAGTTCCCTCTTTGACAATTTATATGCTATAACTCTGCCATTTTAATGAAGTGTGTAAAACTCATTAAAATCAATAGCATTAAGCAAAGAAATGAAATGTTTTCTTTCAGTCTATTCTTTTCCTTTTTATAATTCTTATTTTTACTATTTATTCACCATCTAAACCACAGAAGCCTATCAAATATCGTCTGCATCAGCATTTCCCTCTATGCACATACTACCCTAACACTAATGAGATAACCACCTTAATATTCCCCAAATTTACAAACTACTGAACACTAATTTAAGTAGCTGTTAACAAGTTAATGCCCTATTCACAACCTTTGCATTTGTCACTAGAACCCCATTCAGACTCCAATAAACCCTTCATTGGAGTACTAATGTGGTGCTGTGGGTTAATGCACTGGACTACAAAGTCAGTTGGAACCTCAAAGTCAGCGGTTCAAGCTTACCAGCCGCTCCTTGGAAACCCTATACCGGGTTGCTATGGGTTAGAACTTAACAAGAAGTCCTTAATTACGGAGCTTTGAAGCATGGTTATAAATTGAGCTGCTAATCTAACAATCAGCAGTCCAAAACTTCAAGTTTTTCGGTAGGAAAGATGAGCCTTTCTGCTCCTGCAAAGATTTACAGCCTCAGAAACCCTGTACAAAGTTGCTATGAGTTGGAACTGACTCCACGGCATACACTCACCACCACCACCAAACAATTATATTAACTGTTTCTTTCAACTATGTCCTACAGTCCTGCATGAACTGTAAGGTATCATGTTTGCAGGCACATCTACCCACATCAAACAATCCTTACTATAAACCAAATATAAGGTTCTGAACACCGGTGAGTGGATATTTAATTGGGTTTTATACTTCTATATTTGGAAATCCCTCCTTTTGGGTATGTATCTGCTATGTTACAAAGTCATAATTTCAGACAAGAAATTGAACATTTTGTGGAAGTCTTTAACCAACATTTTCTATACTATAAATTAGAAATTAAAAGCATACTCACACCAATCTTTTCTTCTATGAGCTGTCGAGCATAATCTATTTGTTGTGGAGTGCCACGAATTGTAAATAACTTCATATTAGGATCTGCATTTGGTGGAGGATTTCTCTGAAGTTCTATTCTTGCTCCAGACTGTTGACTTATGCTTTTTATAGTTTCACCTCCTAAAATCAAAACACAGTCATTTCTCTAAAAACCTATGAGGAGATCTTGAAAAGAAACTGGTCTTAATTACACAGGTCATTAAAATAAATTGTATGAAGCACTTAATGGTTCTCTTGAAATTCTAACTTTGAAATCAATAGCTCATACTGAAAAGGCTCAAATAAATTGCTCTTATAAGCAATGTAAACAGAAGCTAACATTAAGTCAAAAATATTTAAAGACATGCAAGCCAGAAAAAAGTAACCTGAAATCAAATCCACTCCAAACTACTTTATAGGTTAAAATGTTTCTTATGAAAGTCTTAGTCCCACTGCTGTATTAGCTAAATGCCTTACTTTTGATTTTGTTATTACGTGCCATTGAGTCTGTTCTGACTCACAGTGACCATGTTGCTGAGAAGTGGCTAGTCGGCTTGAGGTGCTGCCCTTGCAGGTTAGCAGTACAGTGCTTACCCTATAGTTTCACACTAAGACTCCACTTTTTACTTTAGTACATAAAAATCATTCATTAATATTTTAGTTGCTATATATCAAATACTGCCAAAGAAAAATCAACACCATTTGTTTACAAAAGCAACAGAAACAGAACAATCAAGTGCTGAAAATTTAATCACACATTAAAACACGGAGTATAAAATACTTTGCCTTTTCCTATAATCAATCCAGTTTTTCCAGTTGGTACAATGAAATTAAACTCTTGTAGTCCACCAGGTGGTCCCATGTTCCAATTGCCTTGACCTCGGCCTCTTCCTCGACCACCAGGTCCAGGCCCACCAGGATTACCCGCCTAAGGGAGGAAAGACAAGCGGCAAGGTCAGTATAGAAATACACCCTTCTTTCCGTAACGAAACTACATGTGTTTCCCCAACTTTCATATATTCAACCTTGAAATTTACAGAAGTTCAGAGATGGCCTGGCCTATACAATTAACTATTTTTGTTAAGCACCATTAGTTTTTTTTTTTTTTTGCTTAAAAACAAACAAACAACATACACAGTAAGTCCTAATTATAACTATAACCACACTTCATTATTTGTTTCTATAGGCCTCAAACTTGCGGTGGCCTTAGTTGGACACAATGATTCAGGGTCTTTCACATAACTGTGGACAGATAGTAATTAATACTTGAACAGCGGTCTAGTGATTCTTTTCATACTGAGTACAGAAAGGAACTTATGTAGCCTTCTTCCTGTCCAAGATATCTACCTTAAACCAACACAAACTTTATACTGTAGTTGTTAAGTGCCGTCAAGATGGTTCTGACTTACAGCAACCCTGTAGCGGGTTTCCAAGGAGTGGCTGATGAATTTGAACTGCTGCCCTTGTGGTTCAAACTGACCTTACGGTCTAGTACATTATCCTGCAGCACTACACTAATACAGCATCATCAAGTAAATTCTAAATATAAGGGAGGATATTCAGATTCGTTGAGTATTTTCTAAACGAGAGCAAAACAATGAAAACATTAAATTCTTTCACACCTGAACACTTCGAAGGAGGTCTGTAATAATTTCTGCAGCATGCTGACATCGGTCTGGAGGTCCTGTTATTTGTGCTATTCTGTCAGGTGTTGTTCCATCATCTTAAAAAATTATTTCATTAGTTAAATATGTGGCTCTCAAAAGTAATCGCTAAAAAAATAAAAAAATTCCAACCCCCCCAAATAGTAATTTCTACCAACACTTGCACTCACCTGGTTTAAACTGAATCCGAACACCAGCATCATTTTGTATTTTTTTTATCATCTCTCCATTCCTTCCTATTACAATGCCAACAGCAAATCTTGGAATGGGAACCTTAAGCAAAGAAGACTAAGTATTAAGAAATACTTCCTGCACATCAATCTGTATCAAATCAGAAAAGTATATATATTTTGGTGCTAGGTTTAATCAAATAGGACAATATAAAAAATGCACACTCTGTATTCTATGGTAGAAAATTTAAAAATGTACAAAATGTTTAACATAAAACAGGAAGGACACTGCTATTATGTTTATGAATTAGCATAAAACTATTTCTGAATAGGCATTTTTACTTACGTCAATCCCTTCATTTCCTCCTATTCTTGACCCATACTCATTTCGAACTTCTCTGAAACCACCTTGATCACGAATTAACTCTAACACCATTTCCTTGGCTTGCTGAAGTAGAGAAGGTTAGCAAATTTAGAAAGCATGTCTCCAAACATTTTAATTATTCATGTATCGCTTGCCCATTCTGCCTCCCAATCCCCTTTTATAAAATATAAAGTTAAGTTTACTTGAACTTTGTATGGGTCCCCGGTAATTCTGAGAGGCTTGTCAGCACCGGTGTTCTGAGGCCCATCTTGAATCATAACCATTTTAACTCCAGCCCGCTCCTGTTACAATGACAGACACCACATACATTAACAAACGAGAAGTCTGTCATCAAAACAGACTAAAAACAATGAACATATAAACATAGCAATACCTGAAGTTGTTTAATAGTTTCACCTCCCTTCCCAATAACTAATCCAGCCTTGCTAGCTGGAATCATGATCTCTTGAACTGCATTTCCTGGTCCATCACCATGATGGAATCCAGGGGCTGGTCTTCCTTTCTCAACAATCTGGTCCAGTAACCGTTTTGCTGATCTAAAAACAATAAGTTAATATTTAAGTACTGAGTTGCAACACACCAAAATATACTATCAGGTTCACCTTCCAACTCAATTCAGGCTTAAATTAAAAATTTACCAATGCTTTTTATGCAGTGGAATTAAATGAAGTCACTTTAGGATTGAATTTTGTGGCATTTTCATGTTGAGGCAGAAAGCAAAACAAACAAGATAGACTGTGGGCACAGTGACATAACTGTCCTGAGGCCATCTGTAACTTTAACAAAAGTTAATTTCAATGAAATGTTGTTGCTGTTAAGTGCCAGCATACTGGTTCTGACCCATAGCAACCCTGTATAGGGTTTCCTAGGAGCGACGGGTGAGAGTTAGTTAACTGTTGACCTTGCAATTCAAACTGACCTTGCAGTCCAGTGCTTTAACCCACAGCACACCACACCAGTTTTCAATGAAATAGTGTGGATAAAAGCTTGATTAGTATGAGTATGGACTCCTCGTACGGCATTGTAGAATCAGCACGGGATTGTGTACCACAAGGTCTGCAGTTCAAACACAATAGCTGCTTCTTGGTAAACGAAAAGTATGAATACAAAAAAAAAAAAAAGGGGGGGCCCCCAACAATATGGGAAGTTAGCCATCATTTTAAAGAAGTCTTACTGTGAAAGTAGAAAAATAGGGAAGAAAAATGCTGTTGTTGTTGTTGTGTACCATGGAGTCGGTTCCAACTCATAGCAACCCTGTACAGGGTGGGTTTCCAAGGCTGAAAATCTTTATGGGAGCAGAAAGCCTCATCTTTCTCCCGTGGAACAGCTGGTAGTTTCGAACTGTGGACCTTAAGGTTCGCAGCCCGATTCGTAACCACTACGCTACCAGAGCTGTAGGTTGATAGAAATGATCTAATACAGATGAGAAAGGAAATTATGCAGAAGGTACAATTGGCAAGAACACTGTCCATCAGTATAAAAGAGGAGCAGTCTTTGTTTTTGTTTGTTGTTAAGTGCTAACTCACAGCAACCCTGTATAGTGTTTCCAAAGAGTGGCTACTGGGTTTGAACCTCAAACCTTGTGGTTTAGTAGTCTGATGCTTATCCTACAAAACTATACCAGGAGTCCTAATGCACATGAAAACAAAGGAGGGCAATAATGTAAGTACTATATACAAAAAGCGCAAACTGACAGGGGAAGGTAGAAACGTTTCAGAGTTTTTTCTACATTTTCAATGACATAGGTTAAAGTTGGTAAGAAGGGAAGATATGACTTGAAGGAGGGAGACAGAATATCAATAAGTCTTGAAAAAGTAAAAATGCAAATATGCAAAGGGGATTCAAGAGGTTTGTGAAATAATTCCATTATCCATTTATTTCAGGAACTTTTTGAAGATCCATCATATTCAAAGTTAATAGGAGTTTTAGGGTAATAGTTGACATGATTATGTATTCTTCAGGTCACACTCAACGTCTAAGTACAGATTAAAGTAGATAAATGTTAAGTTTTAATTATGTTCTATGGTAGAGGAGGAACCCTAAACTGATAAACGCATGGGCATAAACTTCAAGAGTTGGGAAAAGTTTTAAGAAAGGGGAAGTAAGAGCAAAGAAAGTTCAAAGAACACTCTTATTATAACATTTTAAGTACTTTTTGAAGACTGTCATACTTACTGGACAGATTCAGGTGTTCCAGTTAACATACAAGATCTTTCTGGAAGGCCACCACTATCTACAATTAAAATCAAAATCAGAAAGCTTTATTAGATCAAGAAAAGATGAAAAGGTTGCATCATTTTCAGTAGCCAACTTAAAAACATAACACTTTTTGTCAATCATTTTTCATATATGAAGAAAATATTAGTACCAGGAGCTATTTGTATTTTGCATCCAGATTCCTGTTGTATACGTGAGATCTGTTCACCTCCTCGGCCAATTACTAGTTTAAAAAGAAAAAAAGAAAAAAGAAAAAAAAAAAGTTTAAACACTGTAAAGTCTCTTTTGAGTATTGTATATAAAGTTAAAAAAATTCAGGTACTTACTGAATCCAACCATTCCATCTGGAACTTTGTATTCTTCCGTCATTACAGACCTGCTAATAAACACCACAAAATAAGGACAATCTGTTTACACACAAAATATAATCAACTAACAAAAGTCTGATGGCTTAAATTAAGGTTGTAAGCACCTGACTCATGCCCAAAATATAGCCTATCAATTTGAGTAATGTGGCACATATCAAGTAAGGAGGGAATTCGTGTAGAACAATCTGGAGGCATGAACTAAAAAGGAGCTGGTGGTGGAGTCAGACACTATCATCTTAAAAGTTACACTATTCTACCTGGCTAATTCTACCTAGAGAAGGATATCATGTTTGGTAAGGTGGAGGGTCAGAGAAAAAGAGGAAGGCCCCCAACGGGATGGATTGGCAAAGTGGCAGCATCAATGGGTTCAAGCGTGACAACAATTGTGAGGTTGGCCCTGGACTGGGCAGTGTTTTGTTCTGTTGTGCACAGGGTCACTATGAGTCGGTACTGACTTGATGACACCTAACAACAATAATCAACAACAATTCTACATATCCTCCCAACTTACAGATGTATCTTACTCAGAAAAGAAAACACACACACATATAAGACAAATAAAAGCCTTATTAGTTTGTGGCACATTCATCAAGGGAAATGAAATACAGAAACAAATCACATATGCATATGTCTGATATACAGACTTAGTTGTGTTTATAAACATAAATATAGTTAAATGAAAACTTGCAAAGTTTTTCACTATACCTTTGCTGTTGATGCATCGGTGGTAATTGTGTTCCAAAAGCTACCAAAAATTAAATAAACATAGAATGTAAATTTCCAATTTAAGTTCATCTATATATTTAATGTTAGACAAATCTAAAATCTTTTCCTGACAAAGAAAACATGTTGAAGAGAGCAACTTTTAAGCAGAATACGTAAATCAGCACTGACCTCCCCTGCACCCCCCCCCAGCCAATGAAAGGACAAATAATAAGTTATCAAACTAAAAAAACAAAAACAAAAACTCTCCTTTTTAAATGGTGAAACATAGACTAAAAAATTGGAAGGTAAATAAGCTGAGTATTATGTGTTAGCAACTGGATCTCTGGTAGCGTAGTGGTTACAAATCGGGCTGCGAACCTTAAGGTCAGCGGTTCGAAACTACCAGCTGCTCCGCGGGAGAAAGATGAGGCTTTCTACTCCCGTAAAGATTTACACCCTCGGAAACCCTGTACAGGGTCGCTATGGGTCGGACCTGACTCGATGGCACTTAACAACAACAAATCATTAAAAAGAAATTCAAGTCAGATATTCTAAAAGAATATACATAGGTTTTACTTCAACTTATAACCTAGTTAAAAAAAAAAAATACTTACAGTCATTTTGAGGAGCAACTTTCTTAGCATCTGGTTGATCTGCAAAATTAAGCGTCTTTTAAATTTTTAAAGTACATGTATAAAACTTAGCTTCCCCTCCAAGCAAAAATAAACAAGATTTAACATTTATGGCATATCTGAGGGTATGGTTTGTCATTTGAAACAAAATTGCCAAAAAAACAACTCAGTCCATATTCATAATAGTGTAAAGAAGTTCATTCCCCCACCCATTCTCTTCATGTTTAAAGATGCACAGACATTTTAAAATCCGTTTTAATTGTATCACTGACCTTAATGTATGTTAAACACTTTTGAATGATACAAGACAAAGTATTTAGGTCCATTACTAGCAAAATATCACATGCTAAAGGCTAATGATGCTTCCACTGTAGGAACTGAAGATTGGAAGAAAGAAAAAGCTATCAAAATGTGAAATTTTGACATATCAAAAGTTGAGTGTATCTGACAGTGACCACAAAGCTATGCAAAAAATAAATAAATAAAAATAAAATCACATTACAAGGCAATCTCAATCTAAACTGTTGAATTTTCCTAACCAAACATTTCACAGCGTAACACTTCTGCAGAAACACTCAAAACAACTGTAAGACTACCCTCACCTAAATCCTTTACACAAATGAATAAATACAATGCATACCTTAAAATAAACAACCTATAGCTGGAAAATACTACATTCTCCTCCCCCCTTCAAACTTAAATGATTAAACATCAGAATGTTGTGCAGCAAAAATTCAGACACATAATCCAAGAAATATTTGTGTCCACTTCAAGAATCCACTGGTTTATTTCACGTTTACATACTAAACACAGGTAATAAATAAAAATTCCTGCCTTTAAAAGGAGAGGGCATTCCCTCCCAGTGTGTTGTACTGCTCGGACTTGTCCAAGAGCCATCTACACATAAAATAAAAAGAATACATTACATACAACATCTGAAGCATCATTAGCTCATTTTTTTTTTTTTTTTGTATATTAAAAACCTCACTATAAATATGAAAGACACTTAAATGAAAGGAAACCAAGTACTCCTGGTCAAAAGCTACTAGTACATTCTATAGGATCAAGAATCCTCTTAAAAAAACAAATAAAAGCAAAAAAAGAAAAAAAGAAAAAGAAAAAAAAAAGAGGGCAAAAAGAAAACATATCATAATTCACATATCAAACCTAAAAGAAAAAATACTTGCAGACTTCTAAGTTCAGAAGCTTCAACAATTAAAAAAACAAAACAAAACAAAACAAAAAACAAGACACTGTAAATCCACTGTTTTAAGTTAAACCAGAAACACAAAATACTGAAACAAATAAAAACATTAAAAAATGATACATCCTGCAACACACTAGAGTAGCAACTTCAACCTTTAAAGTGAAATCGGAAATAGCAAAATCATGAAAATATAGCATATAAAGATTCATTCATGCATGATGAGAAAAACCAGTGAAATGTCTCCTAAACAAATCATATTTTTCCCCCTTTATATTAAACAAGAAGTCTGTGCAAACTGTCAATCTGGCATAATCCTGAGAGAAAACTGAACTATATTTCTTAGTAAGAAAGCTTGCTGGTTGACTCACAAATTTTACCTACCTTGTCTAGGTCTCTCTCTCTCTCTCTCTCTCTCTCTCTTTCCTTTCTCTCTGAGGCTCATAAAAACCTTACAATATTAGGAACTCTATATAATTAAAGCAATGTTCCAATACAAACATTTGAAAAATATGAAAATTACTTCAACTAAATACTGCGTAAAATAGCCAAAATACTTAATGCAACAACTTACCTCCATCTTCCAAAGGCCTTTTTTGTCCCCCATAACCATAATCATTTGAATTCAGTGATGTACCAGCATCACCTCCAATTTTTGCTGCAATCTTAAAAACAAAAACAAAATCACACCTTCATTGATACAAATGGCATTACACTACTACATATACTATTGACATTTGCTATTAAGCCTCATTAATCTAGTTCTGACTCAAAGGGATCTTGTATAGTTTCCAGGGAACTGCTGCTAAGTTTGAACTAACGACCATGTGGTTAGTAATCAATTGCTTGCTTATCCTACAGTGTCACACTACCATTACTTGTTTGTGTCTTAAGTCACATATATCGTAAATATTCTTTGGTATTACATAAAATTTATTATTTCAAGGAGCACTGGTGGCATAATGGGTTAAGTATTAGCTTGCAAACTCCAAGATTAATGGTTCAAAACCCCTAGCCTCTAGCAGTAAGAAAGATGAGGCTATCTGCCCCTGTAAACATTTAGTCTTAAGAAATCTTTTGGAGCAGTTCTTCTCTGTCCTATTAAGAGTCCCTTTGAGTCAGAATTGACTCAACGGCAGTGGGTGGCTTTCTAGATTAATATTTCAGGGCATTAACAATCATCATGTGCTGTGGGTTAATGCGCCAGACTGTAAAGCCATTTGAACTACAAGGTCGGTGGTTCAAGCTCACCAATCGCTCCTTGGAAACCCTATACAAGGTCGCTATGGGTGGGAACAGACTTGATGGCATATAACAACACTCCTGTAAGAACAAAACAATCAACTAGAAATCTTAACGATGGCTTGACCAATTAGATCTGAAGAAAATCATGGGTCTTGAGTGTGGGCACAGATAATCTGAAGACACTATGAGACTGTAAGGTTTTCTTTGGGATCCAGGGGGCCGGCAAATTCAAGGAGTTTTAGGTTGAATTTGTTACTGATTAAATCGATTATAACACCATTTCCTTAAAATTGTACTTTCCAGGATTCCTGTTTTTTTCTTTTTCTGTCTTTAATTACAAGCAAGCACTTGAGCAAAAAGGTCAGTTTGAGCTATGCGGTCGGTAGTTCAAACCCACCAGCTGGGTTTGAAACCCTATACAGGGTCGCTATGAATCATAATCAACTCAAGGGCACTTAACAACATAAATCATTTATGCCTACAATAAAAATAATTACACTTCCAGAGTGGCACTGCAGGATAATGCTGTGGACTGCAAGGTTAGTTTGAATCACAAGGTCGGCTGTTCAAACTTGCCAGCTGTACTTCAGAAACCCTATACGGGGTGGTTATGAGTTGGAATCGACTCAGTGGTGCTTAACAATAATGACAACCATTTTTCCTTTTTCTCAAACACCCATTTGTGTCAAATTATAGCTTTCCTTACAGTTGTCATAAACACTTCAAGACAACCTCTAAGTCTTAAAATGCTTAGTATTTTAAACATCCATTATGAACTTATGTTCTGATATTAACTAACATTAAAAGCAAAATTATTTCAGGTCAGAGAAAATAAAACAAGATAGAAAAATGGTTTAGCTATAAATATCTACTGTAGATATTATGCAAGGACCCTATATGGTACATAAGGTTTCTGAAAATGTAAATCTTTGTGGGGTATGAACCACACTTAAAGTGCATAAATGCTCTATAGTGTGCAAATAAGCAATGCTAGAAATTCAAGGAAATTTTTTGTTTGTTTGCACAAAGCAAGGATACTTATGTTCAGAATACCTAAGGAGCTACTGCATCCCAAAGAGTGGCTATGAGTTGGAATTAACTTGGTGGCAGGGGGATGAATTCATTAAATAGTCACAAAACTATCAAAATTAAAATATAACCTGGTACTTAATTCATTCAAAATGAACCAGTAATACTTCCTAAAATACTCAGAAATTATACAATTAAGAGCATTTTTAATAAAAATACGAACACAGATACAGCCATCTATTCTTAAAGAGCAATATTTTCTAGGTCACTATAAGCAGAATATAAGAATTTCACAATAATTCCTAACCTCCAACTACACACAATTCTTATAAAACAGGTAGAATTATGCATAGGGTCCATTAGGGTCAATAATAGTGAATTTTTAACTCCTTAATTTCATTTCAGTTTAGAGTAACTATGATTATTTCATTGAGCCCAGTGCTGCCACCACTGTGCCAATCCATCTCACTGGGGGTTCCTTCCTTTTTTACAATGACCCTCCACTTTACCAAGCATGATGTCCTTCTCTAGGCACTGATCCTGGTCCCTCCTGATAATACGTCCAAAGTATGAGAGACAAAGCCTGGCCATATTGGCTTCCAAGGAGCATTCTGATTGTACTTCTTACCAACACAGACTGGTTTATTCTTTTGGCAGCCCATGGTACTTTGAATATTCTCCTCCAACACCTTAACTCAAATGTATCAATTCTTTTCAATCTTCTGTATTCACTGTCCAACTTTCACATGAATATGAGGCTATTGAAAATAATATGGTTTGGGTCAGGTGCAACTTAGTCCTCAGACTGACATCACCTTTGTTCTTGAACACTTTAAGGAGGTCTTTGCAGCAGAGTTGCCTAATGCAATATGCAGTTTGATTTCTTGGCTGCTACTTGTATGAGTCGGAACCGATTCCATGGCACATAACAACAACTTCCATGAGTGGGGCTGTGTGTGGGTTAATGCGCCAGACTGCAAAGCCATTTGAACTAACTACAAGGTCGGCGGTTCAAGCTCACCAGCTGCTCCTTGGAAACCCTATACAGGGTCGCTATGGGCTGGAATCAACTGGACAGCACTTAACAAATTCTATGAGTGCTGATAAGAGGATTCAAGCTAAATGCTGTCTTTGATGACTTTAATCTTCTCTCCATTTATCACGATGTGATTTTATTGGTCCAGTGGTGAGGATTTTTGTTTTCTTTACATTGAGATATAACCCATACTGAAGGCTGTGGTCGTTGACCTTCATCAGTAAGTATTTTTTTTAAGTCCTCTTCACTTTCAGCAAGGTTGTATCATCTGCATAAGGCAGGCTATTAATGTGGCTTCCTTCAATCCTGATGCCACTTTCTACTTCATATAACTTTGCTTTCTGAATTATTTGTTCAGCATACAGACTGACTAAGTATGGTGAAAGAATACAACCCTAGTGCACAACTTTCCTGATTTTAAATCATTCAGTGTCACCTTGTTCTGATCCATCACCTACCTCTTAGTCTATGTACAGGTTCCTCATGATCTCAATTGTTTCAGAATACTTATTTTCTGAAATGTTGTCCATAGCTTGTTATGATCCTCATGTAGTCAATAAAAGCAAAGGTAAGCATCTTTCTGGTTTTCTCTGCTTTCAGTCAAGATCCAACTGACATTAGCAATTATATCCTTCACTCTGTGTCCTCTTCTGAATCCAGCTTGAACCTCTAGAAGTTCTCTGTCCGTGTGTGGTTGTAGCTGTTTTTGTATTATCTTTAGCAAAATTTTACTTGCTTGCGATATCAGTGATAATGTCCGATTATTTCCACATTCCATTGGGTCACCTCTTTTGAATGGGCACACATATGGATCTCTTCTAGTCAGTTAGCCAGGTAGTTGCCTTCCAAATTTCTTGGCATAGATGAGTGCATGCCTTCAGTGCTGCCTCAATTTGCTGAAAGCTTGCAATTTGTGTGCCATCAATTCCTGGTGCCTTATTCTTTGCCAATGCCTTCAAGCCACCTGGTACTTCTTCCTTCATTATTACTGACTCTTGAATCATATGCTACCTCTTGAAATGGTTGAATATCAACCATTTCTTTTTGGACTCTGTATATTCCTTCCATTTTTTTTTTAATGCTTTCTGCATCATTCAATATTTCGCCCATAGAATCTTTTATTATTGATGCATCAGTTTGTTAAATCCAAGATTTTCAAGTTAAAAGAAAATATATGAGATTAATCACTGCCTGATATTAGAGATTTAAAATTACAAAAACTAAGTAGCTATATGTTCAAATGGAGTCCTTGTGTGGTGCTGTGGTTTAATATGCCAGACTGCAAAGCCATTTGAACTGCAAGGTTGGCAGTTCAAGCTCACCAGATGCTCTCGGAAACCCTATACAGGGTTGCTATGGGTCGGAACTGACTCCATAGCACATAACAACAACATATGTTCAAATGGCCTATTTCCTAATTTTCAGATAGCAGGGTCACTACGAATAGGAACCAACTCGAAGGCACACTGCTCTAGGAGTCCTAGTGTGGCACTCAAGGTCAGAGGTTCAAACCCACCAATCGCTTCTTGGAAACCCTATACAGGGTCGCTTTGTATTATAATTGACTTGAGGGCATACAATAACATATTAACCTAGGAGTCCAGGTGTGGCGTTCAGCACTGGACTACTAACTGCAAAGCCAGTGATTCAAACACACCAGAGACTCCTCAGAAACCCCTATACAGGGTTGCTATGAGTCAGAATGGAATTTATGGCACTTAACAACATTTCCCTAATAGAGCTTGGTGGCATAGTGGGTTATGCATTAGGCTGCTAACCATAGGTATTGTTAAATGCTGTTGAGTCAGTTCTGTATGGGTTTACAAGGTACAGCTGGTGGATTTGAAGCACAAACCTTGCGGTTAAGCACAATGCTGATCCTCAGCGCAACACCAGAACTCCAAATACAAGGTAAGTAGTTTGAATCTAATGGCCGCTTCATGTGAGAAAGAGGTAGCTTTCTGAACCTATCAAGATTTACAACCTCAGAAACCCTACATAGGTTGTTATGGATTGAATAAACTTAATAGGTTAGACATTGGGACATTCCCTATGGAGACCTTGTGGCACTGTAGGTTAGGTGTTGGGCTGCTATATACAAGGTGAGCAGTTCGAACCCACTAGCCAATCCTTGCAAAAAAGATGAGGCTGTCTGCTTTTGCAAAGATTTAGTGTCTCAGAAACCCTATGCAGGGTTGCTATGAGTTGGAATACGGATAGCAATTGTGGGTAAGAGCTGTGGAGTCATTTTTGGTTTCCAGGGAGTGGCTAGTGGGTTTGAACTGTGACCTTGCAGGTAGCAGTTCAGTGTTTATCTTAAAGCGCGATACCAGGACTCCATGGATAGTAGTGGGG